TCTCTCTCTCTCTCTCTCTCTCTCTCTCTCTCTCTCTCTCTCTCTCTCTTCTCTTCTCTCGCTATCTCTTTCCGCGGCACTCTCGGACTCGGCGAGGCGGACACACGTAGCGGGTCGCGTCAGGATCGCTCACAACGATAGCGAGTGCAATTAGTGCTAATCGTGATCGATTAATTATCGCGACTCCGTAGCTGAGCGCGATCGATCGGACGATCGATTAAAGTCACGAACGATCGCGCGATACACGCTTCCCCGGCTTCTGTTTTCGCGCGCGAAACCACCGCGTCCTTCTCGTTTCTCCCCTCCGTCTCTTCTGCCGGAGAAGAGCGAGCGCGCAAGCCGCGCAGAAGAGATACCTGTCTTTACGCTTCTCGTCGTGTTTCACTCGGTCTGTGCTTCACTCTACTTACGGCTGACCCTGTTCGTAATAATTAATGGCGTTAGACCAGGCGAGCGCGGCCGGCCGCCGGTCATGCCCGGCTCCGGCGATAAGTACACGGAAGGTCCGTCCGCGTCCGATTAATGACACGGTGCTGGGCTTTTCGCGTTATTAAACAATTTCCGAGCGTCCGACCGCTCGCCCGGCTCGCGCGTACAATTGAGCAGGCTCGTAATTAACGACGTTGCAATTAACAGCGTTAGCGCATGCGGATCGCGCTCGGGGATAGTTACCCGCCGTGCTTCGCGAACGGGCACGGGTGCCGAGCACGAGAGAAGCGGCCTTAATTGATCGTTAACGCGACGGTCTATCGATCTTTCCCTTTCCCCATCGCCCTCGATCGTGACTTCCTCGAGCATTACGTTATTATTGTGCGGAGCTTGGCGAAAGCGCGAGGCGTTAAACGTTTCAACGAAGTCAATCGGCGTCGGCTCAACAGGCGTTTCTTCGGTCGGTTGGCCGGGCTCAGGCCGGCAGGCCTGAGGAAGAGAACGAGGGAACCGCGTATGTGTGATAGCCTCGATGTGCGCTGAGACGATATGATGAAAAATACACGAAAGGCTCTCTCAGGCCAAGCCTGAGGCGCGCACGAGCGGATTTGACACGCGAGCAACGGAAAGAGATCATAAATCATTAATGAGCTCCCGCATTCCTCCGTTAATGAGATCCCGCGATAAAGCCGGAGTTGTTTATCCGAAATGTCGAACGCTAAGAGGATCGAATTAAGCGGCGCGAGACGCGAAGCACCGGAGAGAAGATTGCCTGCGCTCTCTCGGTCAATCCCCGAGCGGATGCCGAGTCTGACGGCGATTTTTCACCCGGCGTTCTTCATTAGGAAGATAATCGACGCTACTAACGAATCGCCCGAGCCGTCGCGAGAGAGACAAATCGCGCGCGTTCGCCGTCTCGCGATGTTGCACACCCGTTACACTCGGTCGACCCGCGATCCGATCGTGGAACGTAGGCTCTTAGCATCACAATGTGATTTCGCTCACCGAAAGATGAAGCGTCTGACAGCTGATGAGGGTTGACCGGCGCGCTCGGCCCGCCAGTGTGCCCTCCGGTGTGCCCGAGTGTCTTGGTCTAATCACGAGCGTGCTTGCAGGCGCAGTCGGTGAACCCTGACCGCGAGGCAGCGGGTGCGTGACTGCAAGGATGCGCGTACGCAGGAGACGGTGCGTGATGTCCCGGTGACGACGACCACGACGACGAGGGCGAGGACGAACGCGATCATCACGACACACGTAAGCTCGCACGGATTCGCTCACTCATTAACGAACCTACGCGCGCGCTCACGCACCGAGAAGAGATAGAGACAGAAAGAGAGAAAGAGAGAGAGAGAGAGAAAGGGAGAGAAAGAGAGAAAAGAGCGAAATACCGTCGATGCCGCGATGAGGCTGGGTCCGATTGTCCTGTCGTGGGTCACAGCCACGGCCAGTTGGCTGTGCCTGGCGGAAGCGCGAACGCCGCGCTCCAGGGACTACGAGCTCTCGACGGAGTTCTTCCTGGTGCCGTCCGAGATCGGCCACGGCTTGGCGAGCGTGGCGAGCGTTATCAGCGTACCAGCTCCGAACCGGACGGTCACCGTGTTCCGGACACCGCCGAGCAGGAAGGGCCAGTTGGAGCACGAGGTAGAAATGCGACCAACGACGCCGCGGTCCTTGCTGAAACAGCGGCCTTGGGCGCTGCCGTTGGCCGCGCTTAGCGCGGCCGCGATGCTCCTCATGGCCGGTTTTGAGGTCTTCGTGCTGCTCAAGGTGGGTGCCGTCAATCGATACGTCGATGGTTCGAAGTCGTTCCCGATCCGTCTTCGCGACGAATTGACGAACGAATTCGCTGGAATTCATAAAATAGAGACTGATTCAATATTGAGGCGTTTCTACCGCGATTTAATAAAGTTCTAGTTATACTGAGACAAAAGATTGTGCAAGAACTAGCTCTTTCGTTCTGAGTAAAAAGAACAAGTTTCAGGATTGGGCAGATTTTGTTGCGCAAACCGTAATCGAGTCCGCTCGACAATCTGACGTGGAAATTTAAATTATAAAATTTAGTAAACACAGTTAACGAGGCTGAAATGTAGTTGTATGTGTGATACAAATGTTGGTTCAATTATCAAAAGGTTGATTTAACTGTATAACTTAAATTTACTTTGATAGACGGTTTAGTAAATCAGATGATAAATATGAGCAATATAATATGTTGTAGCATCAGTTTTATGATTAACTTTCTGAACTAAATTTTGAAGTCACACAAATAAAAAATTAAGAGAATACGAAAATCTTATTAAAAAAGATTGCCGTTAGTTTGCTTTATAATCATACACAGACGAAGAAAATATTGTAATAAAAATAACGTTAAAATTAAATAAATAAAAAAAATAAATATAAAAATAAATAAATAAAATTATATTTCCTTTTACCATATAAAGCTGGACTATTCCGAAAGCGTAGTTTAAATTAGTGTAAAAATAAATTGAATGAATTTGTTATCTTACTGAATATACAAAAAACGTTAAAATAATTACAATAACGTATAGTAAAAAGTCAAACCTCTTAAAACAAATATATATAGCAATTTTGATTACAATTTTGTACGATCTAAAATTAAGATTTTGTAGGAACTTTCACCACAATATTCCCTTCATGTGTACAACCCTGAAACTGAGTTCATTTAGCTTCACTCGAGTTGTTCCGACCGATCTTTTCTTATATCGTAGAAGTCGAAGAAGTGGGTTTCAAGTTCTTTCACGAGTTGCTGAGGTCGCGGATAATCTATGGCGCCCCGATCGGAATGCTTCCAAGTTGAGAGAGGCTCCCGCGTCACCTTCACAAATATTCTCGTACGCGTGATCACTCTCGATCTCGCACGATCCCGGTTTCGCTTTTCGAGGCTTACATTCGAAAATACGCGCTCGGCGGTTCTCCGAGAAGTCTCCTCCGCAGGGACCGGCTATTTCTTGCTCCGTCCAAGTGAAATGGAACGCGTAAACACCGGCTGGACAACACTTGTCCTCGCTCGGACTGTCGCGTGCTCGCTCGTTCGCTCGCGCGTGCGACCGCGTGCGATTAATAGAGCTCGGAAAAGAACTCGTCTGTCGCGCCGTCTCCTCGCCCGCCGCCTCCCGGCCGACCCACTAATCGTTTTCGTTCGCTCCTGTATTGCCGATAAGCTCCAGTAACCAGCAACGGCGGGGAATTTTCGCCGAGACCTAGGCCCAGTTTGCGCGCGTTTGTCTGCGACCGGCCTCGGTTTCTCTGCCGCGCGCCCTCCGACACACACCATTGAGCAGCTCTCGGCGAGAAAGGTAGAGAGATAGCGGAGTCCTGCCGTGATCGCCAGGTCGTCCGACAGCTCGGGCTGTCTCGCGAGAAAGCTCCCTACGGGATTTCAATTCGACCGCGCGGGGTTGCGCTTCGCGCTGAATCTGAAAGTCGTATTAATAATATTTCTCAGACGATGATGATGTCAATTGCGGTGGGTTGATGGTAAAATTGATAACACGGACATCGATACACGGCGCGAGGTACGCCCTCCCCGCCTCGAGGAAGTCGCCGATTACTCGCGCTTTTGCCGTTTACCACGCGCCGGTAAACGCGAGCTTCGGTCGGGGGATATCGGTTGGTCTAATTAGAGAAATTAACTGCGCCGCGCGCGGACGAGCCCGAGGCTTAATCCGCGCGTAATTACTGAGCACGGATACTTACGAGTACTTACTCCAGCACTCCGCTACCGCGCGCGGTCCCCCGATTCGCGGAGTTAATAGCGCGAGGACGATATGGAGATTGGCGTAGCCAGGACTCGGAGGAAGAACGTGTTTTCGCGCACGGCTATGATCGCTCGGCGAAAGTGCATTTTTCAGCGAAGTTAGAACGTCATTAGAATATCGATACTCTTCAGTATAATCGTGCCGCAATTATTATAATGAAAGCCTTGGTAGCGAATATATATATATATATATATATATATATATATATATATATATATATATAGATGGTTATTGCAGGGAAAAGAAGATTTGTAACTAAAAGCTTCGCTCGTTTAGCAAAATCTATAATCTGTGTCTGTTTTCAGTATTCTGTGAACATCTCTTTTACTGATAAAAGGGACTCCAGAATAAGAGTCTAAGGCCCGTATTAATCGTTATTTGAAACTTGCCTCGGCTGAGATATTCGGATAAGAATGTAGAGATAGATGATGTTTTACGTGAATTATATAATATATGGGACATTGCATTTGCTCCGCAAATCTGCTTAGTTCCAACACTTAAAGTTGACCAGCGAGCTATGGATTTGCTGAGTCTACTTGTTCGATGTAACTGAATCGACTGATCTACGACGCGAACGATTTCCTTCCAGGCCAGGGCGACGGCGCCGAACAGACGACACCTGTTCCTGGGCCAGGCGTTGCTCCTTGGCCTCTTCCTCTTGGCAGGACTATCGGCCGCGGCGTCGCTCAGCCAAAATCCGCTGTCCTGCGCCGCCTTCCGACTGGTGGGTTTGCCGGCCGCCCTCGTGTTCGCCGCGCTGTTGGTCAAATGCGTCTTCTTGCTCTCGTTGAACAGCGGCGTGTACCTGCCGGCGCCTTATCAGGTGAGAGCGACGTGCGAGTAACTCGCGTCCGATTGAGATACATCAAGCCGATAAATAAATATATCCGAACGTTGAGCGACGCTGGACACGACGCTCTCGTGCCGTAGACTCACGATCTTCCGTTCAGGTCGCGCGGATCTCCTCCTCTCCGACGGAATTTTCATCCGGAGCTGTCAAAATACTCAACGCGGGCAAATTGAAAGTCGCGTGTCTGTCGAAGGAAGCGGCGATAATTCCAGGACACGGCCGTGCGCGAACGAACGCCGATAAGATCTGCACGCGCGCTAATCGAAGTAGGTACCGAGACGCGGAAAAATACGGTATCGTGCGATCGTCTCGACATAGGAAAGACACGGTGAAACTCTCTTTCTCTCTTTCTCGCGAGAAAGAGAGAGAAAGAGAGAGAGAGAGAACTGTCTCTCGACATCACAACGATGGACAACGATCTCCTCTCCTCACGAATTTTTCCTGCTTATCTCGTCGCGTCACGTCGCGTCGCATCACGTCGCGTCGCGTCGCCTCACGTCGCGTCGCGTCGCGCCACGTCGATCCGGATATTCATCTCTCACACGGTTCTCCTCGAGCGGCCCTCGAACGAGTCCCGGATGCTTCCCTTTTTTCCCCTTTCGCCACCACGTTGCGTCATCGCTTCACCGTGCTCTCGACGATTAATTACACGCGCGCGCGCGGAAAACCACCCAGGCAATTACCGTGGCGTTGTGTTGGTGCACGCTGAATGACAGGCGTGGCAGGACGAGCTCCGCGGAGGCCTCGTCTCCTCAGGACAAACATCCATTTTTCACGTTCGACGTGCCGCCTCGCCCGGGACATGCCCTCGATCTCGGCGCGATTACTTTTGCGAGAGACTAAAGGCCTGTTCTTTTCAGCTGGACTAGTGCTGCGCTGCAACTTTGTTGCTTTCAAGTAAATTAACAATACATGAGGCAAGTAGGAGCCAAATGCTCATATCGGAGCGAATATTTTAATAATGGCAGAATAATAACGTTTGAGACGGTGTTAGCACTGAATAATTTTCCGGATCTCGATAACATATGCACTATGAATCCACGTCAAACTAAATCTAATTTCCAATTTCTAATATCAATATCAATTTCTCCTTCTCTACATCATCCTAATTATTTAATTATACATTTTTTATCCATTTTAAAAGAATAAAAAATAATTCAATAATCAGAATGGGGAAGTGAGAATAAATTAATATTTGATTCTCTCATTTCTACTGATTCAGAAAATATTAAAATAAACAAGAAATGCGTAATTAAATAATTAGGATGGAGGATAATGGGGGATAAATTAATATCTGACTAATTTTAAAATGAGTCAAGACTTCAAAATAAGTAAAAAATGCGAAATTAAATCATTGGGATCAAATAAGAGGGAACATATTCTCTTATTATTAACTTATTTTCTCCTTCAACGTCAAGTTATATATTTGTTTTAACTCTCTAAAGGTAAAAAATGTGACCTAGTTGAGCTAAAAAGAGCAGACCTTAGGCAAGCAGCCTGTCGGAGAGGAGGAGTAACGTCGATCGTTAGAAACGCGCGAGAAATGAAATCGGCGCAATTCCCGCGGACTTGCACGCGTAATTACGTTCGCGCAATTAAGAGAACACCGCGTTTGTTTGCGACGTTCGTTTGGAGGAAAGCGGCGGGTCAACCGACGCGAATAATACTTAATGCGCGTTTAACGACGAGAATTAACGCCGGATGTGTGTAATTACACCTGCCACGGACGTTTGGGATCTTTCCATCCCAAATAAAAGGACACTCTCATTTGGTTTAAGATATCTTCATTGCTGAGATGTTAATCTTCAAATGAGACTACACAGGATTAAACGCAGATAAGTTACTCTCACATCAATACATTTATTCAACAAATAACTATTTAAATTATATATTAATATTATACATAATTTTATATTATATATTAATATATTATACATAATATTAATATATATACTATTATATATTATATATATATATATATATATATATATATATATTATATATTATATATGTATATATATATATATATATTATATATATATATATTATAGTATATATTATATATATAATATTTAAATTATATTAATATTAATTTTAAGCGGATAGAGGAACCTTTAGCGCAAAACGCATATTTAAAAACATCATATTCTGAATTCACTGTTTCTATTAATACTTCTCATTAGCGAAAATTGTTCTTGGATAATAAGAACTTTTCTGCGCATTGAAAAAATCATATATAAAATATATTCCTGCAACATATTTAACTTAGTTAACTTCAAGTAACTTATCTTCGTTTAATGCGCTACGTAATATTATATGGAGATTAACGTGTTAACAATAAAGCTATTTTCCAAACAAGAATGTCCTTTTTCTTCAGCACGCGGGTAGACGAGCGGAGATAAAAAGCCCGCTCGCGGAAGTTCCCGCGGTTTATCGGCGCGCGCGCGTCCGTGCAGACACGAGCGTGCGGATCGGTCTTTCGCACGCGTGTCACACGTGTTAAAAGAATGCATATGCGCCCCCTGGCCGGTGTCGCTCGCAGGACGTTCACCTTTAATTAAAGCGATCGACAGCGAGGTGGACGGCCGTGTGCGAGCGTGAATCTTACCAGGCGAAGTAATCGTTCGAAGGCTTCTTCTTACCGGTTGCTGCTGCAGGCGCTGGTGCTGGTGTTCGCGGTGTTGGTGCAGGTGGCCATTGTCGGGCAATGGTTTTACGGCGAACCACCTGCGGTGATCCAGGTGCAAGGCGCGGGCCAAAGCTCGCCAGCATCATCCACCTCCTGCAAGACTCCGCTCGGACAGATAGTGGCTTCCCTCGGGTAAACTTTTCAAATATGAACCTTCTTCTTCCTTCTCTTCTTCTTCCTCTTCCTCCTCCTCCGCCTCCTTCTGCTGCTGCTGCTGTTGCCGCTGCTGCTGCTCTTACTCCTTCTCTTCCTCCTCCTCGTCAGCGAGCCGCGAGTTAAATCGATTACACACGTACCTCCAGCGGCAGCGGATAAGCCGCGAAGAAGCCGCCATCGATAACGCGTATTCTTCTTCTTCTTCTCCTTCTTCTTCCTCCTGCTGCTCCTCCTCGCTCCTCCGCGGGAATTTGTCTTTACTTCGTAATCTCCTGAGCGCGCGCGGAGGAGGCTCGCCTAATCGATGAATCACGCGTCGACTATTACCCTGCAATTTTCTGGTCTTTCTTTCTTTCACTTTCATCGCGCGATTCCACCGCTTTAAATTCGCATCGAATTACTTTGAAGACGCGCAGAAGCGCTGCCTCTCGCGCGCTTTCACTCCGTGGATGCTCCGCGCGCCTCCTTCACTCGACTCTCGCGCGAATTGCAGGTATCCTGGAGCGCTGCTGGTGGCGGTGGCCTGCTTGGCGGTGCGGGCACGTGGCGTGCGCGACAATAATCGGGAAGCGGCCTTCATCGGATTGGCGGTCGGCCTCTCGTTGCCGATTTGGATTTCCAGCGGCATCGGCTCGATCGTGGCCGGCAGCGAGGGCGACCGCGAGGCTTGGCTGGCCTACGGTCTCTTGGCTACGTCCCTCTTCGTCTTCCTCACGATGTTCCTGCCGAAGGGCCGGCAACTGGCCGCCCTGGGTCGCGAGGGACCCGCGACGGTGATCCGCGACCGCGACGACGCCCTCAGCTCGTTGCCCGGCAGCGGCTACTCGCCCTCCTTCTTCCACTTCAAGCCCGCCGAGGCGTCGCTCAAGAGGAAGATGCATTACCACAGCGCCGGTAGGTCGTTAGGCCCTGTTGAAGAGTCGCGCATTATCCACGTGGAGACGCGGCGTCCGTGCGTGAGATGCACGATGCGTCGAAAAGAGAAGACGCCGGCGGATATCATCTCATACGGTGTGATCTCTCCTCTGTGCTCTCCGCCGAATATTCGCGGGTTTCTCTCGGCATTACACTCACGCACGTGCGATTACGCTCCTCGCTGGAGCAGCTGCAACTCGTCTGTCGTTCCGATTCGCTTGCGCGATACCACGAGGAAGATCGCCGCCCCTGGCTGCATCCCGCTGAAAAAAGCGACGTATAATCGCGCACAATAACGGAAACGCGGTCATGACTGACGTGTAAATCGGCGACTTTTAGACGAATATTAGGGTAATTAATCTTCCGTGCACAATGTTGGTCTATAAGACCTGAGAGTGAACAATTTGTCAATCTGTTTGCAGGTTTTATTGCGCTACTATCTCATAGCTTTCCTATGCATCTGGGAAAAATGTGTCAGTAGTATTGACTTTCGATAAAGTTATGGTAATTCCAAATTGTCCAGCTCTGACAGACCCAGATATTTTACGTCTAATTACGACATTTACTTTTTTCTTTTCATTTTTCTCTTTTAATGCGTCCCTTCTTGATTTTCTGCATACAATTTTGGATCCGTAAGACCCGGACAAATGTTCACACATCTTTCCTTTTTTGTTCTTTTCTTTAATGTATTCTTTCTTAACCTTCCTTCGTGTACAATGTCGGATCTGTAAAACCCGAATAAATATTTCATTGTCCACTGAAACTTTCTCTCGTAAAGAATTCGAAAAAATTCGAAAAGAGTATCAAAATGGCGTAAATCTCTTTGCAAATTTTTACTTTATTGCGCTACTATCTCAGTTGAGGCTTTTCTATATCTCTGGAAAATATGTGTGTAAAATATTGCTTTTCATCAAAGTTATGTTAGTTCAGAGCTGCCCGGGTCTGACAGACACAGATATTGTACTACGTGTCGCAAAAATTATTGCTGCACGCGGAGAGTAAATGTGTGTGATTACATCACACGCGTCGGAAGCGAAATGACAGGTCTCCCTCGCACACTCGATGACACTTCACGAGTGAGCAATAATAATTGCGCGAAGACCGACGACGCGTTCGCATTGTTTGCAATTACGGTAATTGCAGCCGTGCACGAGGGCGGCGTCACGATTAAAGATCGTGTGCAACGGTGTCGCTCAACTCTGGTTAGCGATTGTCTTTTTACATTGAAATACCCCCATCGCGAATGAAAAGAGAAAAAGGGAGAGAAAGAGAGAGAGAGAGAGAGAGAGAGAGAGAGAGAGAGAGAGAGGCGGCTAAGTCGAAAAATTCAAGTCGGCCGTGATTAGCGCGCGCGAAAACGAGCAACGCGTCACCGGAGACGCCACGCGCTCCAGAATGAACACGGTAATAGCAACGTGATTCGCATCACCGTCCGCCCCCTCCCTCCCTCTCTCCCCTTACCTCCCCGGTCGAGATTATCGTAACGTGGAAACTTCTAATTATAGATCGAGTCGCACTGGTCTCGTCCGGGATACCCGGATGCAGCGCCTGCAGGCACGGAGGAAGTCCTATATACTCCGATGGTAAGCCGTAATTATTTATTTGCAGAATGACTCGATTATTGTATTACGTACGCAGAGGCCAAGCACGCGGTCGAGGAATCGTTTTCCCCGTCGTCGTCGTCGTGCGAGCACATTCTTCACTCACGGCGTTTTTCCCGTTTGACCCTTCGAGAGTCGCGAAACTCGCGGCACGGAGTCACAATTGGAAACGTGTCTGATCGGGACGCACGCGGCGGCGGCGGTGGCGACGACGGACATTAACATTGACTGTAATACAATTAGCATAAGGTATAGAGATAACTGTCGCTATTGGTCATCGAGGTTGAATGACTCCGTCTGACCTCGCCGCGGCCTTCCACTCTTATCGCGGCACCGTAACGCGAAGGAATCCGAGCCGCGCCGGAATTCGATGTCACTGACGGCGAGTCGACTTCGGCGGGTGACCGGTCTCTCGATTGAATTGACTGAAATTCGCCCAAGCGAATTGTCGGTTCGCGCGCGCGTCGTTCATTGCACGTAGGACGAAGTGCACCAGGTATCGCGCCGGCGAGATCTCGCCGCTTCCTGCCCCGCTCGCAGTCCTTTCCTGGCCCGAAACTTTTCCTTCGTCACGCTAACGCCCTCGGCGACCTTCACCTCGAGGTGCGAACGAAAGGGAGGAAAAGCCGCGCGGGTGGACGAGCGGTGGCGGAGGGATGGTGGAGGAGGAGGTGGCGGAGGCGGCGGGCGAGAAAAGGCGGAGAGGGAGAAAGTCCGAGGCGGAGAGGTCAATCGCTCCTCGCCGCGAGATGTTGGCAGAGGGACGACGCGGGGGGAAACGAATCCCGTTAGATTGGACCATGCTCTCGTGAAACGACGGTGCGACCACACGACGATGCGACGAAAATAAAATGCACACGGGCGCGACGAGTCCGTCGATTATCTCTCGCCGCGGCCGCGCGTCTTCGCGCGCGCGCGCGCGCGCGTGCGAGAACCGAGTGTCCGCGCATTTCCTTTTTAGAGAACAACATTGTAAACGGGCAGCTTCACACTTTCTAGAGACGCATAATGGAAAAGCGCGCGCGTTCGTTAACGAGTTTCTAGATCCTATTCAGCTCTATTCGGAGGGAACGCGCTATTGTAACGAGGCCGTGCCGTTACGTTCGCGCGTTACTCAACGAACGCTCACAGGGAACGAACGAACGAACGAACGAACGAACGAGCGAGCGAGCTAATGAAAGAAAAGAGACGAGAGGAAGAAGAGCATTCAGTCGCCGAAGGGCCGCCTCGTGATGACGCTCACCGCGTCCTACTTCGCGAGCGCTGCAAAGGCACGCGCGCGTTCATGACGACGCAGCTGTGCGAACGTAGATCATAGCTGGATGACTTTCACCCACGCGGTACATTTACGCTCAAGACACACGTTCGCGCGTCCGACCGGTTAACGCGCAGCACACTTTGTAACGACGCGTGCCCGTCGCGGTCAGCGAGATTTTCGCGTCGATTGCCGTCCCCAGGACGTGTCGTGTGTCTCTCATAAGAGAATGAAGACTTTCCTGAGCGACGTGGCGGTCGATACCGCGCGAGCGCGAGCGCCCACGCGACACGTTTCTTTACGGTAAAGCTCATTATCGCGAGCGAGGCGTGAAACACGCGGGAGATCATGAGGCAAAGGTCGCCAGCCTTCTCGAGCCGGGGGAGCACTCGAAGCTCTCGCGACGTAACGTGTCTTGAAAATATATTATGAACGGACCGAGTCCTTCCTTCGATCGTGACGGCAGCGATTGATCCTCCAAATTAATCACTCGTTACCGGGCAGGACGAAGAAGAAATCGCGAAATCGCGCGACGACAGACTCACTCGTGATATATCCGTCTCTCATTTCGATGAAACTTGTTATATTTGTAGAGTAGACAAGTTTAAGAGATATATATATTTTTTTTATTAATTTATAGGCCATTGTATTCTATACAAAACACTAAAATTTGTCTAAAAAATTTGTTAAATTTTAGTGATATATTTAACGAAATTACAAAAGGGATAAAACTTTGAGAATTGGTTTCATCTCCTAAATTTGTGTGTCAGCTGGTAAAAAAATGTGTCTTGAATTTTGTCTATTCTACGAATTTCATTTAAATCAGAGACGGATCTCACGGGTGTTTCCTGCCAGACACTCACAGGTTCGCATTAATCGTCTTTACTTGAAACCGGTCTCATATGAGATACTTGTGTGAGTTTTAAGTCAGATGTGAGTTTTCCAATTGAATCGCGATTACCAATATATACAACATCATATGTATCGTACACAATTTGACTCACTTGTTGATCATTCATTACGCTATTCAACATTAGATCCAACTCTAAAGTCGGATCTGAATATCTCGTATGAATCGAGCTTCAAGTCACGACTATTAATGCGAATCGCAGTCGCGACGCGTAACGAGGGCTCGTCCGCGTCCCGGTTTTGCGCGTCACATCTACTCCACGCAATATCTCGCGCGTATCGATGCGGCTTACTCGAGAAAGGCTAGTCACACGGCGATCGCGATGATACACCTCCTCACCGCGATCGTCGTCGTCGTTGTCGTCGTCGTTGTCGTCGAATAACGAACGGTTTCCGACAGATGTAAATCGAAGCGGCGACTCGTCCTAGTTTCCTGAGCGAGTTTTTTAGCTCCTTTTTTTCTCTTGCGGATCGCTTCGCTGGTATCAGGAGAAACGCAATAAACGTGGCCTCACTATTGCTTGCAGATGTGCACGGGCCCATGGAGACTTTCGTTCTGCCACCCGGCATGTACCTGAGGCCGGAGGACGCCGGGAACCTCTACACGACCTTGTCGGCCAATCCCAACGTGTTCTTCCAGAGAGCGGCCCATCCTGGGATGATGTACTGATAAGGCGGACCATTCCGTGCGAATTCTTCGCCCCGATATCGCCGACCGACACAAGATCGGGCCGAGCCTTTGTATCGCGCTTTAGATTAGATTACGGAAACGATAAAGCGATTGTTCTTCGGTGTAAATAATCGTTGTTGTTAGATCCTATTAAGTGCGTCTCGAGGTACGTCGAGGCGCGATTCTACGGACTCTTTTTGTAACGCGAAGGTGGATGATCGTGCGAGTGTGCTTCGCGAGAAATACGTGTGCGATACGTTGCAGAGCGACGCGATTGATTAGTGACTTAGTCGAGAATCGTCGACGAATCCCGTGAGCCGACGGGAAAGTGTGTGCCTCCAAGATAACTCAATAAACGTATGATACATTTTTTTACACGAGATCCGCTTGTTCTCCATTCTTCCAAGGATGTGTTTGGAAAAGACTCGTTCGGCTTTTTCATCAAAATTTCAATCAATTCAAAAGCAAAGCTAAATAAACAGATTAGTCTAGAAAATATTTCTGAAGCTTCTCCAAACGTAAAAACAAATACACGCTCGTTTCTAGTTCTTCTTTGTCTTTTCATGGCTAGACTTGCTATATGTTGAATACTTTTGTTGCTTCTATAATTTGAGCAGAGATGTTCAATTTTTCATTCAATACCACTAAGATCAATATCTGATTCCGACGCCAATTGAACCTGATTCTGAATTCGTCTTTGTCTGAAGAGAGCTCAAACTTAGGCTAATGTTTAATCGACGTTGACAAAACAGAGAAAAGAGTGACTTTCATCAAACTCTGTTCATCAAACTCTATTCTCATCAAATTAATCAATGATTAACTCAGTCGATAATACAGAAAATAAAAAAGTAGTTTATTGTCGAAACAAGCAAAAAATTCTCTTGTTTTTTCTCTTCACAATCTATATTTAAAATTGCTACTTGTAAAGCAGGTAACATATTACTTGCTGTATTCTATTAACACAGAATTATTAATATTTTCGTCACTTCGCAACAAATTGTATTGCTGTAAATTGTTGTTGGCCAGTTCTGCCGATTAATTGTCGACTGATTTAATCGAAATTTAATAAAAGTCATCCGCTTTTTTCTGGGGTAGCTTAGTTTCACCTCCATTGGGGTCCACTGCGTTCAGGAACGTCTTCCTTCCTCTTTATCTCACTCTCGTATTTCTCCAACGCAGCGGTTGCACCCGAATGATGTTTCCGAACTCACTCCTGTACACGGAAGTTACTCAGCCCGTGCGCCACGACAAGGCGCTACCCCGTGCACGGGAGCTGACGTGGTTGCTCATTTGGACATGTCATCAGTTTCGTGGCGAAAGGGTCAAAGATTCTCCTCTATGAAGAGAATCGTGCCATTGTTCGTATCACCTATCGAACACATCGATCGCGTTCGACCGCGCGTATAGCTGCAGTTGCAGCAGTGTCGTCAGGGTTGGAGCTCTTGATAGCACACCGTAGCCAGGGGGGAAATCGCACACATGCGCGCGTCACGTCCATGAGAGACAGGGGATCGTACAACGTCGGGTAGTAGAAGGAGACAGACATATGACTATCTATCTCTTTCTCTCGCTCGACAAAAAGTTCTCGCTCGGTGCGACGGAGTCCAACTCTGAGGAGGAACTCGATTCTGGAAAAGTGTCGCATACGATATGCGTAACGAATGTCATTGGTTGTCACAGTTTTCGGTGTTTTCGTCTCATAATGACGAATAACACGACGCTATGGATGTCGCGCGGCATATCGGGGCAATTTGCCCCGAGGCAAATGAGGTAATTATGTTTCGCGACAGAATATTGATATAACATTATTGAGAGCTAAATAATGTGGCTTTTCATACGTGCGCACTACACAAAAGCGTAATTGCGTGTTAATTAGGAGAAACGCAAATGAACGTGTATAGATGGAAAATGCGGAAAAACTTGACGATGGTGTAAAGTAAGAGGAGATGCATGCACTATGTATCAAATTATATTGATTACTCGAATAGTCTATGGTACTGCAAATGCTCCTCGATATTTGCTTTATGTTATATTAATATTCTTTCGCAAAACAGATAATTACATTCAACAGATAACTACAATCATTTGTGGCAAATTGCCCCGATATGCCGCACGACATCCGTAGCGTCGTGTTATTCCTCATTATGAGACGAAAACGCCGAAAACTAATGACATTTGTTACACATCGTATGCGACTTTTCCAGAATTGAGCTCTCCCGAGTTGAACCCCGTCGCGCCGAGCGAGAGAAAGAGATAGATAGTCATATGTCTGTCTCCTTCTACTACCCGACGTTGCCCGATCCCCCCCCCGCCTCCCTCGTCTCTCCCGGACGCGACGCGCGCTTGTGTGCGGCTTCCACCCTGGCTACGGCGTGCTACCAACAGCTCCGGTGCTGAGCCGCAGCCGTTGCATAATGATAGGCGCTCTTGACGTCATATGACGTGCGCGACGTCAAGGTGATGGGAGGGGGTGGTGGTGTGTGGAAAGACGTGGACGATTGTTCCCCGCATCTGTCAAAGGCAGTCAACAATATGGCGCCATAGTGATACGTTGCATTACGCGATCGGCCGCACATATGTTTTTCGCGCCAATGAAAGCCACGAGTCTCGTTGGTGGAACGTTCGGTAGTCCGCTCGGGACCAACATTGCCGGGTGAAAGTGTGTGCGTGCGCCACGCGCCCGTTTTCTAACCTAACCAGAACGATGACTTGTCGTCATTCGCTGCTGTGCGGGCCCGCCGCGATGTAACGCGCATATTTCCCTGCCTCACGTCGTAAATAAATTACATAAGTTGCCAGTGGAAACCCGCGTTGTAATGGCGTGTCCGGTGGAGCAGCTCAGGTAAGTCCGAATCGCAAGTTGGAAGCTTGTTTTCTCGTCCTCTTCAGGTATCGTGCGCTGTCACGTTGCCTGAGGAATGTAGACCGCGTTTCCTCCCGAGTCTTCTGTGACCTTGAGTCCTATGCACGCAGAATTTACTTCGTCACGTGGAACGTAGCCACAAAGTTCCCGAGTCTACAACAGGACCTTCATCAGCTTCTGGGCATTGCACCTTACGCAGAACCCGAACAATGGCCAGATTTATACTTTATAGCGTATGTAACTTTTTCTTGCATACATCTCTATTCACCTGAAACTTGGATTTAACATTACACTTTTACTTCTTCAGGTTACAGGAAGTCAAGTCCCAGCCACAAAATATGGTGTTAGACTATATATTATTTGAAGATCCCTGGACTAAAGCTTTTAGGTAAGCCATTTAAAACATACAATGGGTTTACAATGAGAACTTAAGTCATAAAACTTAAGCTTTAAGCCTGAAGCCGTAAGAAATTGACCGATCACAGTCGATTATTTTCCTTATATTTGATAGTGATTGGTCAATTTTTTACAGCTTCAGGCTTAAAGTTTAAGTTTTATGGCTTAAGTTCTCATTGCTTAAGATCACACAAGTTGATTTATAAATATAGTCATGACTTAATATGCAAATTCACTAAAGAGACAGAGAAATTAATCGCTGACATCATTTCTAGAGATGTACTGAAGAAGTATGATTATGTGAAGATACGTTCCCAGCGGCTACAGGGTCTTGTTCTAAATGCTTTCTGTCTGAGGAAACATTTAACACGTTTAAGGTCCATAGAAGCTCAATACACTAGGACAGGTTTTGGTGGCATGTGGGTAAGAAACATCGTGGTGATATATATTATTGTTGTACTGACTACGTCGCCTCCGTGTGCAGGGAAACAAAGGCGCCGTGAGCATAAGAATGACTGCCTATGGAGTCAGCGTTTGTATAGTGAATACTCATTTAACTCCCCATGACCACTTATTAGCTGACAGGATTTCGGATTATAACACTATCGTGACTGACCATACCTTTACTGTTTCATGTACAACGAGGATATTATATCATGAGTACAAAATTTCATCACTTCAAAGTTAATCTAGGCGAAACAAAAGATCACGATAACGTCAGAATGATAAAAATATTCTAACAAATGAATAATACGGACATAAAGAGCCAAGTTACAGATGTTATGTGTTTAATAAAAAATTAATATAAAAGATGTAAAAAAGAGATATAAAAAATTAATATACAAAGATGTAAAAAAGAGATAGAGCTCCACAGACCCAACAGCTCGTATGTAAGCGATAGAGTTAAACAATTTGCATGACAAATGATAATAATATCTCATTCGTCATGCAAATTGTTTATCTCCATGTGTTTATACACGAGCTGTTGGGTTTCTGTGGAGCTCTATCTCTTTTTTACATCTTTGTCGGCGAACACTGATGTATTAATTAAAGTGCTGAGGTGAAATTTGCGTCTCGAACATAACAACACTAGCTTCGATGAACTGCATGGATTGTATTTGACTTTATAATACTTATTGAAGAGGACCATATTCAATAGTCGAAACGTATATTTTGTATTTATTAATTTTTTATTAAACACATAACACCCGTAACTTGGTTCTTTATGTCCGTATTATTCATTTGTCAGATTTGATCTGCAGAGCTTATATTGTTTATATATTAGATAAAAATATTATTCAAAAATATTATTCAAAAAACTTACTCTTCAATTGCGGTTCGATTATTTCCTCATCATTTTGACGTCATTATAATTTTCTGTTTTTGGGAATATAGAATTCATTAATAATATCTTCCAAAATATGCTGATGTATTCTTATTTTTCAACAGCTACATATTTTGGATCGGTGACTTAAATTTTCGGCTCGACGGGGAAGACTTAACTGCCGTCGATATAGATTCGATGGTAAAGAAGAAACGTCTCGAGAAACTCCTCGAGAGAGATCAGCTGAGGACGGTAATGAGAGACGGTCAAGCTTTCGCCGAGCTGAGTGAGAATACTATCACATTCCCACCTACTTACAAATACGAGTTCGAGTCTCAGGCATTTGATCTCAAGTAAGTTACAGAAAATCGTATTGTGCTTCACATGAATAATTTAGTTTCACATATAGATGAAAGTTACACATATACGTTCTACATTCTCCATTTTCCATCACGCAGACGTAGGCCATCCTGGACCGACAGGATTTTGTACAAAGTAAACGCGGTAGATATCTACGACGACATACAACTTCATACAGAGCAGCATACTTACAAGAGCCATCCCAGCTACAGTGTTTCCGACCACAAGCCTGTAACCGGAGATTTCGACATCGCAGTAAGCATTCTCACACGGTGTACACGTGTCTCCAGCGCAATTTTCCACGCAAACGCAAATGACGATACTTCTTCAGGTGAGGCCTGACGTGACAGACGATATCGTGGAATTTCAAGATTGCGCCATGGGAGATCACTTCATATCCTACAAGTTGCAGAGAGACTTTACGCCGGGCAACGCGGACTGGATAGGTCTCTTCTCCAACGAATTCTCCAGCATGGACGATTACATCGTCTACGAATACATTGGTCGTGGTGAGTTTACGATCTTACTATAGTCCCCATCTCGTTTTCCAATGTCATTGTTCTTCGAATGTTTCTTTAATAATACACTTTCTTAATAAACGTTTCTTTAATAATACACTAGGTAAATCAACGTCTACACCTGCTGAATCACCCGCGAGCACCGAGCGAATATTCTTCAGTGACACAGCGCTTCGTCTGACGGAAACGTATTGCTTGGTCTACGTGGCTCAACGCGGCGACTTAATGGAGATTTTGGGCGTGAGTCCGGAATTCTCGGGTCTTCGACAACCGATCGACGCGGCCGCCTCGTTGTCAACGTAAATCTTTTATGCCCGATGGATTGATTTACTTAGAAGCTTGTGTGTGAACACCAGTCCTCTCGCCGCGAAACGATACCTTGCCTAAAATGCCTATGAGCATGACACTTCTTGTTTTTTGTTTTTTTATCTTATTTTAGATCACCACCTTACTGATGACCATAACTTTCCCTGAAAAAATTGTGATAATGTTCTACATGGCCTTTAAATCGTAAGGTGCTTTTATCACGGTATATAGTTCGTATAATCGAAGCATCGAAATACGCGATGCTTCCTACGTGCACTTAGTTTCAATATGATTTGGACATTTTCTTCTTGATGCAGTTTGGGACGCAGCCGGTGAGAGAGAATTCAACTTTTAGGAATTAATAAAGGAAATAATAAAAAAAGAAGTTCTCTCATAGGTCTTTAGCTACGTTCCAGATTGCTTCGAGAAAAAGGTCTAAACCGTCTTGAAATCAGTGTTGTACTGTTTAAACTGTTACTTTTGGTACCTGGTTTTACGCGCTCGAGTTGCTACTTGGGACGCGTCACGCGTATTAATTACATTTTAGAAAGAAAGAGGGAGATGAGATGGCTTGTAGTGAGTGCACGTGTCGTATTTTCACGCACGCGGGATCTTCCTCGAGATCCATTAACGCCCGCGCTCGGTTCTATTATGTAGTAAAACAAAGGCAGTTGTGTTGTTCAGTTTTCCTCCTCTCAGCCCATCCCCGAGCGTTAATGGGTTAATCACGACGTTACGAGTACGCTCACATTGCCGTTCAATATCGCTATTTTACTTAGCGAAATTACTTGTTAGCAGCAGCGAATTTGGGTTGTGGCAAGGCAGCACTTTCACGTGCCGCCGCGTAAAAAGGTCGTACTATTTTATTTTTATAAACATCGACTGAATGGAGCCAAGTGGAACAAAACAGTTATATACTGTGGTTTTAATGGGAATATGCAAATAAAGGATTAGTATTTTTTACTCGTTTTGTCTCGTTATCTCGGCATTCCATCACGCAGCGTTGCGTTCGTAATAAACTGATTTATTCAATAAATTAATACCTGCTAGCGCTACACGACAATAAATAAGCAAGCTACACGTGACAATGACAACGACGACGATGACGACGTCGTGTGGAATCAGCGATACGCAAACACGAGGATGCGAATGATATGTTATCGATGTGAACATCGGCTCGAATTTTAACACATATTTCCTTGTGATATAAATCGACATTGTAACAATGTATAATTATTATCAACAATTCCATGTGTACGATCAGAACAGATTTACACAGGCGAGTCGTATCCGGACCGATAACGCGCAATATCGCGTATTTAATACTTGAGAACCTCGCCAACAAGGTCGTTCCCTCCATTATCATTTCTCACGATTCTACAATCAGTGCATGTACGAGTCGAGACACACGGCACACGGCTGTGCACATCGTAGGAGAAGAAAATAAATCATGCATTACATAATATGATGCCGACGTGAATAATCTATTTTTATCAGACATCGCGGTTTCACCGTCACACATTCACGCAGAAATTCTCACTATGCAAGCGCGGACGTACCTTATATTCGAAGAAACATATGTTCGAATGTCATTAACGTTAGTTCGTACGCGGCACTGCACGTTCTTCCGTCGTCCGCGGATATCGTATACTAAAAGAGAAAAGGACTAGAGTTCTATTACACTTTCGAGCATTGTGCGCGATTCGACTTGAGTGTGTATAAGTAAAAATCGCCTCACACCTCTTAGGACTGTACTTAGGACTAACCTCTTAAGAAAGCATCGCACATCACGGACTAATTCCGCGCTAACTAAAGAAGTCAGATAAGTATGCGAGCGGCGATTGCCGTCGGCGAGTTCAGCAGCGGGAATCGCGTCGAACTCGGCGCGGCGATATGTCCATGTCGCTCGTAAAATGTCACTCGTCGAGAAAGGCGTTTTTAGTCTGGCGCCGTGGTGACGACGAGTTAAAATAACTTCTGTCTCATGGTGTGAGCGCGCCTTCGACTCGCTCCACCATTCACGGGACCCGATTATCGACTCGTACAACGGTCGCTTCGGCCGATTTCACGATCTCACGGCCAAACTTAGCTTCGATGTGAAACGTCACTGTTCTTACGCGAACAGGCTCGACATTATCTACGTTATTATTAAATGAGTCTGTCCGGGCAGCCCGGAGTCACCGTTCATAGGCATCACTGGCAACAGCGCCAGTTCCATGCTGCCGACTTCCGGTTCCGCGGTGTGGATCCCGCGGATTTTCTGTATCCGATGCCACACGAAGTCTCTGATCGGCCTTCTTAGGACGAACAGACCGAAGATGAGCACGCCTTGGAGCGCGTTCACTAGGTCGAACGCTGACCAGTCCAGTTGATCGGCATCGATCCACCAGGAGATCAGTTCCATCGTCCAATTGAGACCCATCAGGAAGAAGAGCACCAGACAAACGAAAAAGGTCCGCTTGAGCCGGCGGAAGAGCTTCTGCTCCACCCGGTCGTTCCTCAGCAGACGTCGCAGCGTGAGCTGTTGCTGATATTTGTTGATGTTAACGGCTGTGATCACGAAGAGGATCATGTTGGCCAGCAGCAGAAGGCCAACCGGCACGTAGAAGTACGGCATCGCTTCCTCGTCGGCTGTGGGAGGAGTGAGAATGATTAATATCGACCTTCTCGCGCTTTCGGAGTCTGTGGAACATGTCAAATGAGAAAAAGCTCGATGAATAATGTTGAATAATGTTGATTGATAATGTTGGGAATTGCTCTTGGTGAATGGCGATCGTGATCGAGCGTTTATCTTGGATTTCGCAACGTTGATCTATTTATAAGATTTAAATGGTGTTTAGGATGGTCAGATTAGATGACTACGTGCTTTAAATGGCGATGAAGGACAAACGAGCTGTGACGTAAGCGAATTGGGACTCACATTTGAACCAACAGCTGTCTTTGCCGAATGTGGGTTTCACGTAAGTCGTGGGTATCGTGGGATTGAGATCCATTGCCATCGAGATGAGAATGAGGACCGCCGACGGGCCCCAGGCCCATATAGAGTAGTAGAAGAACAGCATCTTGCACGGAGTACGCTGATACGAGCGTTGATTCACGTGGTAGCGCACCATCAGCCACGTCTCGATGCATATCACGTTCAGCCAAAAGAAGCAGGCCACGAATGAGAACTGGATGACGAACGCTGAAAACGATCCCGTTTCTAGATCAATCTGTCGATCGCATGCTGTCGCATTTGCCAAAAACGATTTGCCGCGTTGACATTGACTACTACTGCTACTACATTCTATTTTATACATACAAATTAATGCTAGTCATCGTAATTAAAGCTTTAGTTGCAATAACTACAAACAAAGTTAATTATACTATATACATTTCTACATTACTATTACAATTTTACATATAAAACTCGAATAGTTGTCATCTGTGTAGTTGCCATCACCAGAGTTTCTCTCTGAGTGTAGTACATAAGAATAGAAACGCTAAACTTTCGCGCGACTTATATTAAAGCTTCCACAGTGATGCTCGTTCAATCGTAACGATTCTGAGACATTGTTAACGGTCGCGTGGATTCGCATAAATAAAACTAGAAAATTAAATTTTAAAGGAACGTTCTCCGACAACAAAGTGACAGCTAACAGCTGAAGTTTCCATTTGTTAACCTTTAGTTACCGTTTATATTAAGTATTTGTCCCAAAATTAAGATTTTCTCTTCTCAGCTGAGTTTCGTATCTTTTTCTTCTGGTAGATATTTATGAGAAAACAGAAGCAGTATTTTTACGCAACGGTGCGTCAGATAAAGATATGTGCTATATTCCGGCATTCGCAGAATTGTATCTGCCTCTAGCTAAAAGTTAATTATCTTACCTATACTAAAGCAAAGTTCAGGTGGCATTTGCGCGCTCGCGAGTTGCGTAATCGCCAAAGTGATGAAGGCCAGCGCCAGGCAACCGCAATAATGACAAAGGGCCTTGCCGTGGACGTCCCGCAATTTCGGCGTTATCATGTACGCCACGATGGTGAGAATCAAGAAGGGAACAGAGATCAAGAGCCCGCAGGCATAAATAATGATCTTGGTATCTGCGCCCTTGGTGACACTGTCTGAAATTGTTGCGTTTTTGGTTAGAGGGACTCGAACGACTGATGAGTAAAGTCAAACACGCCGACGTTCATATTCGGCCGCGACGTGTTAATATTTCCGGTCAATTTTAACAGCTCTCTTGATAAATTCCCAAAATAATCGGTCGCGCGAATAAACGAGAGTTACTTTGAATTAAGATTCTACGTGAGAAGATTGTGAGAAGAAATGAGGAAAGGATTATGAGAGAAATAAGAAGAATTTTCTTCGAGAACTTTCTATGTATTTCCATTTCAGCAACACACTCACCTTCGTCAAAACAAATGAACGGCTTGAGAAGCAGCTTGTCCGATTTGCTTTCGAACACGATTTCCATGCAGTAATGCTCGCCCGGCACGAGCATGGGCGGCACATGTTGCGGTGCGAAGATGGAACCGTTCAGCAACAAATGATACTCATCGTATTCGTTCTCCTCCGGTTCTAGTGGGTATCTGAAAATACATTATCATTCTCAAATATATGCAGCGCGAACGTGCTGAAAAATCATGCGTCGTATCGACTCGCGAAAGGAGAATCGGTTGAATATTTAACGTCAGGTAGAGTTTACAGAGAAGCACCAGGATAAGCGCGAGAACAACCTTCCGAGAAACGCGTCTCTGTAACTGCTCGGCAGAAACAAGTTATGCTGGTGCATGAGGAAGTTATTCGTGTCCAAGGATGGCCGATTATCACGGAAGTCGCGATAATGCTTCACGGTGGTCACGAGAATTCATATTCCGATAAATTATAAGACGTTGAGTGTCACGATTGCCACCTCAATATTGTTCCTATATGCGTTCTGTACACAATAAGTAAAAACATCTACACATTTCATTTCTTTGCAGAATGGAGAATTTTTGCATTATTTTCCCATGAAAGAAATCAAAGAAAAAAGAAAATTGGTATGTTATGGTATATTAAAATACGAACGAGAACGATAAGCTATATTTAAATGAGAAATTTATTCTGATGAATATTTTATATATTTAATTTTTTCAGGTAGAGAGCATATTTCAAAATGGAGAATTTTTGCATTATTTTCCTATGATAGAATTCAAAGAAAAAAGAAAATTGGTGTGTTATGGTATATTAAAATACGAACGAGAACGATAAGCTATATTCAAATGAGAAATTTATTCTGATGAATGTTTTATATATTTAATTTTTTCAGGTAGAGAGCATATTTCAGAATGGAGAATTTTTGCATTATTTTCCCATGAAAGAATTCAAATAAAAAAGAAAATTGGTGTGTTATGATATATTAAAATACGAACGAGAACGATAAGCTATATTCAAATGAGAAATTTATTCTGATGAATGTTTTATATATTTAATTTTTTTCAGGTAGAGAGCATATTTCAGGGAATAAAGTGTATGTAAATGCATTTTGTGGGACAATCAGCAAACAGTTATCGAATAAAAACTTCGATTGAGCCATGTGTCACAGGACGGTGAGACACGACAATGTATTTCGCCAATTAATCTGGCGCCATTTAAAAGTTATAACGTTTTCCAAAGTCTACACAGACAGAGTCGTAATTCGCGCACAAGCGACAATGCACGAATTACAATATTGTGCTATGTAATAAATGTTGATTATCAATCAACAGTTATAACTTTATCGATAGTTCGTGAGACAAAAGCATGGACGGTGCCACATTGTCTTCCGGCACGCAAGTTTATCGAGATTAAAAACATGTCACTTTATGATTTCATCTCCGCCGATTATCATCACGTGGCGCGATACAGTTTCTCTCCTCTTTTCCGCCGTGGGAGAAAGAAAATACACATTATTTCGACGATACGTTATCTGCGGGCGCGCGACTGTGACAATGATCGAACGTATCGGGACTACGAGTCCGTAAATTGCTCTCAATAAAGCGCGTAATTGACGCATCGGTATGTCATGCAGCTCGTAAATATCTGAAGAATGCAACGTCGAGAGTGACGTTTATCAGCATTGCCGTCGCCGCCGTCGCGGCGATGTCTCAATTAATGGCACTCTCTCCACAATCAAAAAACTTTAGAGAAAGAGAGAGGGAGAGAGAGAGAGAAAGATATTATATAAAATATTCTCTCATCTCTCAGAACCGCGTTATCTGATACTCGACGATATCGACACAATGACAGAGCGTTATCGCGACACAATGAAATGGACATTCTGTGTAGCTACTTCTCCACTTTTTTTCTGTTTTTTCACGATACGTTCTAAAATTAACAATGCGTAGAGAGGTGAAGTGCGATCAACGTTCGTTCTCGTTACGGCACGATGAAGTCTCGTCGCGGGATACACTAAGCGGTGTTCCGATCTACTGATAAGCATTATCGATAGTCTACGCGTTTTATTATGTAACGGACGAGCGGCCGGTGAAAGATTGTCAGCTCGTTACGAATTCCTCCTCAAGACGTACTTTTTGTAATGGCAGGGATTCCCCACGATGGCGACGAAACTCTTGAGTTCGTTTCCGGGCAACAGCATGCCCGTTTGGTTGAATTTGCTGAAGATAGGCGAGAAGTGCACCGGCGCGGAGTTGTTCAAAGGCACGCACAAGGATGTCTTGTCCGCGTCTTTCACGAGGATCTCGTTCAAGGGACAGCATTTCGGCACCAGCGGCAGTCCCTTGTGTTGCTCCGGTATGAGGAACGTTTTGTTTTGCTGGAAAAACCCAGGATCAGAGCATATCGCACGATATCACATAGAATAGCGCACATGTCGCGGGAGCTCGACAACAAAATAAAGTCTCGATGGGTCGAAATTGAAAAACACGGTATGTATGAATATAAACGAAGCGGATAACGATGCAAATGTGAAATAAATTGCCGGCGGCGCATGTACGAGCAATTCACCCGAACTGGTTGGGAGATTCGGCCTGTACACACTAATGCTCGCCTGCTCACACTCGCTCCACCGGCAAACGCGCAATTTCCGTGAAAATGACGTCGGCAAGCGCGAACGCGCCGAGAGATCGCAAGTAACGCGGAATGCCGCGCATTCGCTAATTAACAAATCGAGCCGCGGTCTCTCAACGTACGATCGCACGTACGTCTCTCGCAGGAATTAATTAATTAATTCGCCATTTCGCGACGCGGCTCTCAATATCCGGTTTGCTCGCGGCAGTGCTCCGCGTAAAAAAACCCACTACTCGAGTAATCTGGACAACGTCAAGGAACACAGAGTGATCGATACAAGCGCGATTGGCGCGCGCTCCAAATATAACTTCGCGCGAGAGATGCGTGCGGAGCGGATAAATAAATTCGGCATGATCTCGCTTTTTAGCGACATAAATATTCGCAGCTACTCACCAGCGGAGCTGTGTGTATGTCGGGCGCCATCATAGCGTTGTTCGCGCGCGCGAGAATTGGCGCGAAGAGGTGCGCGAAGAGCGCGCAGATGCACGCGAAACGCATTCTGGACAATGGCCGCGGTCCAGTGGAGTCTGTCGGACCGCCAGAAGGGATTATTCTCTCGCTCCAGGTGCTCGCGGAGCAGCGAAACGACGTGATCGGCTCGCTCGAATCAATATGTATCGACGAGCACGTGGCCGAGCATCGTCGAACTTTGGATTCCGCACGTGTTCGTCGGAGCCGAGGGACGGCAACAGAGGACGCGATTCGATCGACGCGGAGGTGACTCCAGAGGCTGCTCGTGCAACGTCCCTCGCGATGATGGATATTCAGCACCCACCTTTCGTCGTCACTCGATATCGTGTCAGGACCCTACACATTTATCTTGTCACACCTTGTTTGCATTGCGCCGATAAGTCCCTGCTTCCGCGTAATGTGAGCGTCATTATTTGCCCGATCGATGTCCAACTATTAAAGAAAGATTTCACTTGATTATATGCACATTCATTAAATGGCGTCTGCTTGCCGGCCGGCCGGCCGGCGTCGCGTCGTTAAACTGCGTTCAAACGGTCTCGCAAAATTCTCCTTTCTTTCTCACTCACACACACATACGCGCGCACGCACATACCTACTATTTTTATCGCGCTGTCACCGATATCGTTTTTAGCGATTTCTCCGTCGCCAGTGCACTTATCATCAATCACACTTCACCTTACCGTTAAGCGCGTTAGGTCATTCGGAAATTCCGGCTGGACCTCGCCGGCGGCGATAGCGGCCCGAAACACCTACGCGGCCGAGGGGAGACGGGAGCGTTATCGGGACCGAACTCGGGGAGTTCCTCGATCGCGAATTTCCTTATGAGACAAAGTCGCGAGGCGATCCTTTCTCTGTGTCACTCGACTCCTCGCGTAGCGACTGACTCTATTGCGAACTACTGCGGGAGACGATGTTGATTTTCAACGAAGCGACCTAGAACTACCTTCTCTCATTTGCATAATTATTTTGGAATCAAGGCGTGGGGATCAAGGCGACGTGAAGTCGCCGCGCGACGAAGACGTTACTTTCGGAAACTGGAATCGGGGTGATAGCCGTTGATCAAGGTGACGCTTGGCATTAGATCGTCTTGATATTTGATCATGAGTCGAGACGACGAGACTAATCACACGTCTGTGATGACGAACGCGGTTCACCGACCTCGAACCTGCCGCTACTTCATCGCTGAAGAGGTGGTTTCGCCGAGGAAAACGAACAACAAACGCTTGTCGCTTTACCGTTCTCGATTATTGGCCGCGTTCCTCATTATTACTTCCTCCCCACAAACGGGCTTTTGACGATGACGCTTCTTCACGCTTGATCACGTCGAAGTGAGGTTGCAAATTCGCGAGCGGAATTTTTTCCAAACTCTAAATTCTCGCGCCATTGTCCGATCGATCGATTGTCCTTGCGACTTTTGGCGCGTCCGATTATCACGTGCATTCCGTAATATTAATAATTGGCCATCCCCAGTCGAAATTTTAATTCTACCTTCGACCTCGGCATTTCATTTAACGCCTACTCTGAGACTTTGAAGCCCACACCGGTCTTTTCGATTCAATTTAGCCTGCTAACTTGGCCGAAAAGTTAAAGTTAGTTCTTTAAAATTTACAAGTGGTATTCTATGTGTTTTCTGCTATTTAGAGGCGTCAAGTATACGAAAAAGATAATTCCGTTAGTGTAATGAATTTTAGTGTAGTGGATTTTCTGTCACTTGAGGACTAAATAAAAACCACAATTATGGGAACAAAGAGATTTTTGTAGGAGGTTTCTGCTTAGCCAATAGCTTTCAGTTACCTCAGTTATCTCAAACGAATGTAGCTAAAGAAATTTTCCGTTACTCAGGAACCAGATGAAAAACTCAGTTGTGGGAATAGAAAGATTTCTATAAGAGGTTTCTGCTTAGTCAATTGCTCTCCGTTACCTCAACTGACTGCAGCTGAATGTTCAGACAAATTCTCGTTAACAAAGACATTATTTCTCGTCAGCGAATTTTTCGTCTGGTCACCATTCGGTCACCCAAATTGAAACTGTATTCTCCGTGTAGAACTTCAGTTTCCACGTCTTAAATATACACTAATCTTTCAGAATATATAAATGTTGGGAAGTTCAGGTTAAAAGCAAGACTCAGATTTCGACTCGAGATCGCACGAAAGCACACACACACACACGCACTCACACTGCCGCGATAATTTCCGATTTTCAATGATAATGAGCCACGATAATGAGTCGTTAACGCACCGGTATGATTCTCCTCCTGAGAGAGATCCTTGGCTGAGATTGCAGAGCGTGGCTTTTCGCGGGCGTGATTTATAAAAGTCCCTCTCTAATCGTTTCCTCCTCGACACTTGAACGAGTTATTATCTGCCCGGCGAGAGATCGTTGGCAGCAAACGCGATAATTGACGGACGAGCAAACAGCGTGGCCGGCGTGACGAAGCGACGAAGGTGAGATCCCACGTGCTTCACCGATCGACGTCCGAGAGCTCACTGGCCGGACTTCTCGATTCGCTCGCGCTTTTATCGAATAAGAGAGCGATCTCTCGCGCCTCGCGGCGAACTCCGCGGCGAACGTGCCGGCGCGAGCTACACTCGCGTACGTATATTGTACGTGATACACCGAAGGTATTTCACGCCGCGTAATTATCGATCGTCGAAGACGGATATTTCCTCAATCGACTGACCCGCCTGAAATAATCACGCAATCGAGAAGACGGAATTGAAGTACGTTGCAAATTTTCGCGCGGATGCCGCGAAGATTTATCTCGAAGACGAATTGACGTGATTAGGTAGATACACGTGGTTGCTGTTGACAAAAGATTATCAGTCATATGCGCGTAGTTCGCTGCAAGTTTGTTGCATGTGCAACATCAATGTTTGCGCCAAGTGTCACGCGTAACTCGCGCGCGCGTCATATCCGTGGCGCATTCATAGCACTTTTCATTCTTTCTTTTTCTCCCGCTTGCCAACAACCGCGGTTGGAGAAAGCACGTATCCGTCCACAAATCACTCGATTACCATTTCTTCGCACATCTGTCGACACTTTTTCGGGTGCTGATAAACGCGATTCGACGTCGGAAAATTCGAGCTTATCGTTGCAAGGGGACCCGCACATCTGACTTTTTCGAGATAACACCAGCACTCGAGTATTACATTACACACCATCTTCGAGATTAAGCGTGAAAAAAGTCTCAGTTTGTGCAACTGAAAAGGGACCAGAAGAAAATTCGACGACGTGAGATAATGTCTCTGTTACCGCAACCGCGAACATTGAACTGAACATTCAGGTGTAGTAAAGGTTGTGATAACTGAGAACAGTTGGCCGAATAGAAACTTCCTACAAAAGTCTTTCTGTTCCTACAACTATGTTCTTCTCCTAGTTCCTATTCTTATCACAATAATATATATACTGCATTCAAATAAATGTTACTCGTCTCGAGTATTTCACAAGTTTAAATATCCACAAATCTACGTATGAATATCTCTGTCTGTCTGTATATTCCTTATATAAACTCTTTGATCAATCTAAATAAAATTTTGTGTAGTTATTTCTTAGGAATTACTTTGAGAAAAATATAATATTTCTTAGTTATTACTTTGAGAAAAATATAATATTTGAACACTCTATTTCTTCCTTCTGAAAATTTTATGTTCTTGACAATTTAGTAGTTTAAGCTAGTCTATCATAAATCTATTATAAGTTCATTGTAAGTATCAAATTTATTCAAAATATATTCTCTATCTTAGCAAGTTTAACATTTTAATCGAAACTGTTAAATTAAAACAAAATTTGGTTTATTCACCACATAAAAATGGGCACACTAACTTTTTCTTAAATTTGATAATATTCTTATAAAGAGAGGATAAATTCTTCTCTTGAGTACATGATAGCTTTCCTCAAATATGATGAGTATATCTTTGAAGACTATCACCAAAAAAATATCTTCTTTACTGAAGATAACCATTGCTCGAAAAAAGGAAAAGAAACTGAGTAATCGTTTTTCTCAGCAGTGGATTAACGTTTTTCTGCGCACAGGCAGTAGAAAATCCAATTACATCAACGGAATTTTTGTCTTCGTGTAGCTACGAAAAATTTCAACAATTTCCGCCAACGTCAACGATTGTTGAAGAAGCTACTTTTACACCACAAACAATCGCGGGAGGAAATACACTCACAGGGAGTTATCACGGCGATTTATCAGTCTTGAAAGTCTCATAAAATTCACGTAGGAAGTGATATCGGCGGGCAATATTCGCTGGATATCCGCGGAATACCGCGAAAACGACGTAACTCTGCTAACACGCCGCCACGTCATTCGGCTGCTTCCGGCCAGGTCCAATGATGCCGATTTCTACGACGGAACAATGCGATCGATCGCCCCTGCGGATTGAGCCCCGATCGGCTTGATCCCGACTTTCGCACACGCTCTTACGTATAACACGCAGCAGGGGTGCGACAGCCGAAGTGTAAACGAAGGCCCGAGCTGCGTACTAGCAGTCGAGGGGGTGTAGCAAGGTGTTACGATAAACGCAGAATGGAGAACGACGTCGCTATTTTGGTCGATAACGCGATGCAAACGTCAATAATTGCTAGAGTATCTGGAACCTCGGTTTTCTTCCTTTTGCAATTTGCTTTCAACGTCAAAACACTCTTGACGTCAAAATGCCGAGCAAGTACGCAAAGCAGAAGAAAAATGACATTCTTACATCAATCAGAATAAGCGTAACGATATTATGCTTAATAACGCACAAGTGCTGACGATTTGCAACATCGTACGTCTGTAGCTTGTAGGAGTGTCCTGCACTACGCACGCGACTTCGGTGTTTTTTTTTTCTTTTCGCGAGCTGTCCTCGAGGCTTGACGTCAAAACGCCGAGCGAAGTTTGTGAAGAGGAAATAATAAAACTTTTGCACTAATGAGCGCTGATAATCGTTGCAATGTTGTGTTTGATAATGCACGAGCGCTGACGATTCACATTATTCTTCCTCCGTTACTACGAACTCCTCGTTGCGAAATTCCTTCGACAGAGAAACGCGCCTTGTTTATAAGTTCCAAATTCAAACAGGCCGATTCATCGTTCGAAAGCGAGCGCACGCTCCTCGCGTGGGTCGAGTTTACTTTTGCACGTCTAACAGTCATCGTGCCAAAGGTTGAATATAGAATGCACGCCGTCGGCGGACTTTGTGTGCACAGTTGAATCGTTAACAATTACATTGACTCCCATCACTCCTGCTCGGACGTGATAGTTATAACTCGGGTTAATAGTCGACTCTGGTCATTTGCATTCGCGAGTCTCGCTCCGGACCAACGAGTTTCGCGCTCGAAATGAATCGTCATTACGGCGAATGATGAAGTTACGGACCAGGCCAGGCGCCCGGCCATAAATATAACGCTTGACGTAACGTACTGTAAAGTAAATATGCCACTTGTTCCTGCGTGTTGGAGAGAACGGAGGACGTTTGTACGTCTGAGAGAAAAAGAGAGAGAGAAACCGATCGAGAAGACAGAAGAAATATGATGACGCGGCACGGCGCAGCGCAGCGCCATGGACGAGGAAAAAAGCCTGATGACGTCCGAGGACTTCCTACGTCTAAAGTCCTCGGATCGGTACGTTTTGCGTAGGTGAGACAATTACGATAAGACAAATCGTGCTCTATGACGAGATCGTCGAGAGAAGAGGTCAAAATTTTGTATTTTTATAACAATATATGTATATATTCCTCTTCCATCCTACAATAATTATATTGACTATACCAAGAGAATTTTATAATAAAAATTATTACAGAATTCTGTAACTGAGGAATAAATTAACGATATGTATTAATTAACATTATTTGTCGTTTGTCGACATCAAACGTAATGATTCGGAGAGGTGCGCTGCGTAGGTAAATAGCAAAATAATCGGCGGAAAAGGCAACAATATCGTGCGTCGATCAATGAGATTTTCGTTTTCAAAACATTTTGCAGTTAATATATATAATTTACATTACACGATCAAATTACCACTCTAGTGATATGAGATGTATTCATACATGGAAGTATAAATTGGTAGGAACTCATCATCAATTCATAAATCATCATTATTCACAACCTTTGATTAAGAGCATAATTAAAATATGGCGTTCATGATGTTATTTCACTGTGCTTATCAATATTCAAAACGAATGCAGACATAGCTTCATAAATAATCAAGACATGCTACTTATTAAACAACGAGAAACTATAAATGTCGAGTATACTCAATTTTAACTCGGAATATTTCCTTATATTCGATATCATTAGACCTTCGTTTTAAAATCGAAAATATCATGCGATAATAAATTATTTTACATACCTGGTAATACAAGATTTGTATCGCTGCTCGTGTTCCACCGTCCTGGCTTTCCACTCCAGCATCTTGCTCCCGGCCACTCTGGATATTCCATTGTAGCACTGACACTGACACGCACGTAGATACGATTCGATCGTATAAATATTAATTAACGTGATACCAACGGGAACCCGATTAAATGCATAATTCAAAGGTCGACGCGAATGATAACGCGCCGATACACTCGCGTCACAATGTTTGTCGTTCGTCAACTCCAAACGTAATGATTCGGAAAGGTACGCTGCGTACGAAAATACCAAAACAACCGACGGAAAGGGCAACAATATCGCGTGTCGACCAATGATCTTCGTTTCCAAAACATTTCACAAGTCCCATCTTGAGTCTTTGTTGATATACGGCGTTATTACTGTGTACTAGCAACTACTATTTTGTTACCTCTGCAACATCTTTCTTTTCATTTGTTTTGAATTTTGAATCGCTGTTGAAATTTCTGACATAAAATAGAAAACAATAATATATTCCACTCGCAAGCGAAGGGAAGAAAGTGAGAGAGATAAACTCGGGTTCTCTTGAGCAGGGAAAAGAACCGACGGGGGTGCGAAAGAGGGAAATATATATTTATTAAAAAGACTACGCGAGGCGCTGGGAGGAGAGCATAGGGAGTAAATATCACGATAAATATTATGGCGTTATATTTAGGGAGTAAATATCACGTGATTCGATAAAGTACTAAGACATAATTTCAGTCTCCACGTATCTATAATCAAAACAGAAAATAACTGCATTACCTCGCATGAAAAACTCGCGAAATGAGACTACACGAAACGCATAGTAGAAAACCACGAAAGCCACGATTTATTTTTGCAGTTATAGTACTTTTCCTATAGATTATGATATACGTTTTCCTATAGATTATATTAAATAAGAAAAGTTGTTATTTTTTAGTTATTTTTTTCAGTTTTATTGAATTATTTAATTTTTGCTTGATCTATATATTGAATACTTTATATAATTAATATATTATTTGTTTGCGTGTAAAATTACGAATAAAGATCAAGTGCAGCCAAAGGTGATCGAATATCAAATAATTCTTTAATAAATTCTTCTTTAAGCCTCAACAAAACAGTGAGTAATCATTTATGTATCAGCAAAATAATAAAAAAATAATAGCCTCTACAACGTTATATATCTCGAAATTCACCACTGGTCCTTTAAATTCGACGGAATTTGTAAATTTCAAATCTCTCAAATTTCGACGCAGCCTTGAAATATTTTCCCTCAACTGTACGCGTTCTATCTCTCTTAGCTTTCTCTCTTATTAAAAAATGAGGTCACCGCGATAGAATAAAAGATGAAAGAAGACATATGTGTGTGTGCGTGCATGCGCGCGCATGTATACAGTATGTATCAAGGATTAAGAAAAGAAAGTTTGTGCAAATAATGAAGACTTTAGTATCTATGTGGAGACTTCAATAGTGATTTGATAACCGCTGACGTTCGCGCTTACTTCGCGAACTGTTACGTACCGCTCTCTGTTACGGAATCCCGCAGACTTCGAAAGTCCAAGCGGTCGGTAACGCAGTAAATTTATATATATATACGATATAGGCCGTGTAATACAACTTCGTTTAAAATTTCACAGCAAAGTTTGGCCGTAAACACTAGTAAGATCCCCGTGGGAGCTTAACGTTCTCAAGACAAAACGTGTTTTAAGGAGCGCTTAAAGTTTCGCGCGATATAAAACGCTCAATTGCCCAGCCGAGAGGCGCTCGTTGAATATCAATCTCGCGGAATATTAAACTTTCAATGAAAGGCCTGGCAAGTAAGCCGGACGTGTAAAATCGTCCTGAAATTATGCATTTCGCGCAGAGGCGCGCGAGTGCAGTCGCATAAGTTTTTATTAGAAAGTTCGCGCGGTAACGTTCGCCGAGTCTTTCTCTCTCTCATTCGCTGAAATCTGGCAAAACTTCGGACATAAAACTCCACCGTCCCTTTCTGCGTTCGCAGCGCGCATGAATTATTAAAGTCCGGCGAGTCTTCTTTCACGCATTTGCGCGAAGCACTTCGCGTGTCGTTTGCATTAGCGTCATCTCTTTCACCCATCTCGACTCGCCGCGTTTCATTCAATTTTCATCGGAAACGTGAATTAGCCCGCCGCACGCATCGACGTCCTTTTAATTACATTCATCAATAATTGCGGCCGCAAAGTTCAAGCGCGATCGTCTATTTAATATTCATCTTACCGAATAGCTTCGCGGAAACGATTTATATGCGACATTTTTTGCCAATCCGAATCGCGGAATTAAAGTGATCTTTCGCGGAATATTTATCGCCAGCATCTTTCTCTCATCGTGACAAAAAGATTAATCTGTCAAGACAAAAGGGGTGTTTTGAAATAATGACGCGCTTCAGCTGTCGATGTTAAGTATGCGACCTGAAGATGCCGTTGCTCCTCGGCGGAAACTCAACGCATGACTTCTGATCCCGACTTGCACAGTTTCGAATATTCAATGATGCAACGCGTCGCGATCGTGCGGGCAATACCATCGCAAGGTTTCGAGAACCGGATTCAAGGTAGCGAGAGTGCCTTTTTGTTCTCTCTTCTCTCCTGTCTCTCCTCTCTCTCTCCCTCTCTCCCTTTCTCTCTTGCCGAGGGGCCCTACGACGTCACGCGCGAAATTGTCGCGGGCCTCGCGTGCGATCGCGGTCAGCGACGTCGGTTTTCTGTGCGTACACACGTACGGCAGTCGTCGCTTCTTCGTGTCGGACCACGTTGACGTGGTCCACGCGACCTTGGCGAACGTACTTAGGCTGCGTATTCGCTTTTGATGCGCGAACAAACGCAACGGTGTTTTTCCGCTGCTCTCTTAAAGTGAATCAGTGAAACATCATTGAAAGCAGTAAATATACACTGATTTGCAGCTATAAGTACAGCACTGAAACTGCTCAGTGCTATGCTTATAACTGATATAAGTGACTATTCACTGATTCACTTTAAGAGAGTACGCCCGACGATTCTATAGCGCGCGTCTTTGTCAAAAGAAGACGAGAGAACGCGAAACAAAGCAGCTTATTCAAAAATTGAACGCCAAGCCGAGCGCAGGGTGCAGCCGAGACGTAACATGACAAAAATTATACGTCGACGAGATCTATTATTTTCCCTTGTGAATTAAATTAAATTGAAAAAGAAAATAAACGAACTTTGCGCTCTTCTGTTTTTGGAATCTATTTTTGAGAGAAATTCGGAAAATTTTATGGAAATATATACGAAACCTCCTTGTGATGATATCGCGCGCACGATCGCGACGCGTTGCATAATTGAATATTCAATACTTCGAGAATATACATGTAAAAAACATTTTGTATTTTTGTTGAAATCCATTCATATAGAAATTTTTATGCTAATTCTTGAACTTTAGCATAATTTTAGCATAACTTTTGTGACATATTGCAGTTGTGTTGTTTTGAGTACTCTACGTTGAGTTCATAAATTTACTATCTCTAAGTGTTAAAAAAATACAATTTCTATGCACGACTTCTTGGCAACACATTTTATACGCAAAATGTACAGATAAGTTACGTCATTCGCTTGTATATTTGTCTCGTGTTGAATTAACGCCAAAATTAGAATCGGTAAATCGGCACGTGTGAAAAATGCGTCAAGTTTAATACAAAACTATTTGCAGTGTACTATACCGAAAAAATCAATCGAAGCATCTCGTATGACTCTCATCATGCCCTTCATATAAAATAATACAATAATTTTTCGATTTGAGCACAGATACACGAGAACGGAAATTATGGCTTAATACAGCCTCGTGTCGAACCGCCATGATCTTCCCCTTCCCCCTTTGCTCTCCGCCCAGCTCTCCCCCGGCGGCCTTTTTAATAAAAAATATTTCCCCCTTCCGCGCTCGCCGACCCTTTCCCTTCCTGAAGAGAGGAAGAGAGAGAAAGAGAGAAAGAACCCGACTTCATCCCTCTCGCTCTTTTTTCCTCTCACTCGCACCAGCCTGTAACGCGATGTAGTAGTAGGGTGGACGCGATTCGGCGTCCCCTTCGTGGAGGCACTTAGCGTGAAGGTATTTGTCTATCGAAAACTATACCCTCGCTGCTCGCTCGCCGTGGTCCCCTTCGCACGCCCTTACGAGAGATTCCTTTGGCGGACACGAGAGCCGTGCGCGCTGTTTTTTCGGAGTGTGTCGTGATAGAGTTGATGACACGTGTACGCGATTTTGCGGGCGCGGAGGAAAAGGAACTCACTACCTCCGCCGGTGTCTGGACTCGTCCGACAGTACGACTACGCGTAAGGTAGGTATCAATGATAAATGTACCTAACTCCGAGCATTCTTACTATATGTTGGCTTTTAAATATTTCAACTCTTTCAACATCGAATATACATATATTGAACGCATGCGTACGTTGAAAACTGAAATATCAAAGACCGAAGCAATAAGAATGTGCAGAGTCAGTCAGGTGTCTAGGCATTGGTACATTTTTTTCACCTTAGCGAGGAAAAACGATACGAGCGGTGTGCAATACGAGTAATCGCGCGTTTCGTTGTGCTTCGCGGGGCAGCGTCAGTACGCGTTGTATTATATTATACTTGCTAATAAAGTCATTACGCAAATATAATTTCATAGGACGCGAAGCGCTACATTGTGCCGTGTAATGAATTTGCGTCAGTTGCGTAGATTTATTGAACAAGATCGGCAACCAGACAGTCGAGTTACGCCTGTAAGCCGGACGGGTTTACGTTACCGGGACAATGAGGCGGCGATGAAACTAACGCAACATTATACCGTTGACGCGTGACTCGCATTTCGCCAGATTTTCGGGTCCCAACGTGAGTCCCAACACGAGTCTGCGAGCCTTCGTTCCTATCCTCGACCACGTCTCGAGTACCTTCGATCCGCGCGCGTGTGTATAGACACACGTTACGCACACACGACGTATATTGATGAGGGTGCTGGCAGGGAGGGGACGGGGTGGATTTTGTTTTGCCGGATGTGCGCAGAGTCGCTGTAGGGCAATTAAACCACCGTAAAGCCGAACGTTGGCCGATGACTGGTCTCCAGCAATCAATCGAACCCATTGTAAACGGAGTTACCTTCAATATACTCTGTATACGCGTGCATATATACAGTGCAAGTGTTCCCTCTTACTCTCTCCCTCTCCCTCGCTGTCCCCTCTTTCTCTCCCCTTCCCTCCCTCCTCTCCCTGCACTTTATCTATCTCCGCCGTTCTATCTGTCCGTCCCTCTTCCTCTCTTCGTGGTCGGTACTCCGCTCGCGAGTAGCTGCCTCGGGGCGAGGGATAAGCGCGCACCAGTGCGGTCGATATTTGTATTTTCACCCTGCCCTAAAGCGCACGAGCGTCAGAAGGAAATCGCGATCCTACGCGTCGACACAGCACGTTCGGCGATTACGATAAAACTGCTCTGAAACGATAATATCAATTCGCAAATCCATGAAAGAGATTACTCAATTCTTCTTACACGAAATCTTATGTTTGACGCATTTTCACATGACACATAACCTAGCCGGTGAACACACCAACAAAAACACATCAGTGCCACAATTTCCTACTTGATAATGAGTAATGTAACATATGTTACATGCAACAATCACATCACTGAGTGTAAAACGATGATATGTAATGTCACTGTTGCTTGATATTTATAGATACAGAGTATACTTTGCAGTGTCAATGTTCAATTGATGCTGAACATGAGTGTTTCATATCAATGACCAGTCGCAAAACTTCCAACAATCACGTGTCGTTTCGCGTAGACACACTCGAGACAACCCGGTGGTTCATCTCGTTTTCCGTGTACTCATTCATTCGGGCCGTCTTAAGCCCGTGTCATACTACAGATTGGAGACAGAGGATCGCAGATTGAAGATCGAAACTTGATCAACTGGAGCAAAGCAGGCCAAAATCGAAATTCCTCGATTCGTCGAAATCTAATCCGCAATCCTCCATCTTCAATCCGTGGTGTGACACGGGCTTTAGGGGCGCCTGCGCTCGGTCCGCACCTGCGTCGCGATCCCGCGGAGCGGGGGCGGCGAGGACGACGACGGCGGCGGTGGCGGCGGTGGCCGCGCGCGCGGCGGCGTCGTAGAGGAAGGCAACGAGGAGGCATCGCCAGTAGCTCCCAGGCAGTGACTCCGCGCGTAACGACATGTAACCATCGGACGGCCGTTTCGCGCGGTGTTATGTCATCGGTAACAATCGCAATACACGGAAGCCCGAAGAAACTCACAACGGACAACGCGGGTGGTGATCCCCCGTGAGCGGAATCGCAGAGCTCGCCCGTTTCCCCTGTTCGCGCGCGACCGTCCCCGTCGCAAGGTGTCGCACGCAAGACTCCGCGACTCGCCGACGTCGTCCCGACGCGACGACGCTTCTCCCCCGTTCGCGTCGGCCAACGTGAGATCTCCTCGTCCTCCGCGGGTCCTCGCGGGTTCACGTCACAGAGTACCGTTCGCGAGAGCTCACGGCTGCACGGCGAGAGGAAGACACCAGCTACCACCAGCGTGTCTCTCGATGGGTCGAGGATATTCGACGCGGCTGGCAGCCGTGAGCTCCGGCGAGCCAACGTCGCCGTCGCCGTCGCGAGCCTGTCGCAAATCGACGCCCCGACGATGAAGATCGTGTCCGCTCCGCGGCGTGTCACGGTTCGATAGCCGGATGAACGCCGGCGACCTCGGCGTTAGCGTCGACGGCGCGCGAGCGGTTGGGAACGAGCGGTGGATCCGCTCCGCATGTCGACCACTGACCAGACGATCAAACGGACAACGCGCGACGACGGGGCGACGACGGGACGACGACGGGTGGTCCTGGCTCACGCGGAAGCGCTCGACAATGGCGATACGTTGGCCTTGAGATCGATTGCACGAGCCCGAGGAGCTCGGTGAACGGCCGGGGTGTGCGACTTCAAGTCGAATTCGTTGCGATCGTGCCGTCTCGTTCGCTACCGGGTGTCGCGATCGCATTGCACCACGCCGCGGAAGAGGTTTACGATGCGCGGAGTGGTAAACCAGCGGCGGGACGCGTCGAGATCGCGCACGGGAGCTTCTTCCAGACGTACGGTGTCGCGACTAGTAAACATGTGAAACGAAGAATCGCGGCGTGTTTGACATTTGGCTGTGTAATAAAACCGTTAAATTATATAATAATAAGTGGTGGGCCACACACACACACACACACACACACATACAGTGCGAGTTAGCCGTCTGACGTCTCATCGCGATCGATCACCGAGGACGATCGGGGGACCGGAAACGGTCTCGTCGATGGACGAGTGACAGAGTAACCACCGTGCGTTGAATGGAGTGATGAGCGGGGCCCCTGCGCGGGGCACAGTGCCCCGTCGTCAAAGACGCGACCATCACCGTCACCATCATCAGAATCATCATCAGCCGAAGCATCCCAAGCAGCTACGGGAGGAGACGCCGCGGGACGGCGCGTCGGACGGCGAGCCGGAGGAGAAGCGGCCGAAGGTCAACCCGATCTTTCTATGGGCGTCGCAACGCGAACAGAGGATCGTCGAAGTGAGATGCGAAGATTACGACAAGCGCAATCGTATCAAGCTGACCAAGACCGCGCAAGGATGGCGCTCGATACCGCGGACGACGTCCAACGTGTACTCGATCGCCTTGGCCACCGCCAACGCCTGCAAGACGAGCCGGTCACCGAGCTTGGTGGACTCGCCAGCTTCGTCGGTCTTGTCCAACGACGAGAAGGAGAACGGCACGCTGCGCCAAGAGACCGCGGCGAACCCTCATCAACGTCTGCCGATCCGAATGTACCCGGTGAACGGCGCGAGCAATGGTGTGCTCACTGGCGTCGAAGGCACCGGTCGAAAGAGGTGTTACGAAGACGTGAGGAACGACGAAAACCGGCGAGGATACGCGTATCCCCTCGGAGTCCGTGACGATTCCAACAGGAACGCCGTTCAAGGTTGCTCCGAGAACGGGGGTAAGGAAGACGACGAGGAGAACCGAACGGGAGACGTGGAGATGGACCGCGATGTACGAGGTACAGCCCAAGACTGTCTCATGAGCAAGCACAGGCCGGTGGGCGACTGGGTTAACTTGGACAGGGCGCAGAAGGACAAGCTGTTACAGCCGCGAGTGGTGCTGGAGCAGTTGCATCTGTCGCAACTTGTCGAGAGCTCGCATCAAAATGTCGTTTGCCAGACTAGAGAGAGGAAAGACTCGGCGAGCGAAACAGAGCGGATGAGCCGAAGCAACGAGCGAGATGAGGAGGATGCGATCGACCGGGCGGAGGAGGAGGAGGAGGAGGAGGAGGAGGAAGAGGAGGAGCAGGAGCAGGAGACGGCGGCTGAGGCGAGAGACAGTGAGAGATGTCAGCGGGTGAACAAGGCGGGCATTCAGGATATACTGAACATGATAAACGCCACGGCATCGCCCGTTCTGGCCACTGACACTCCCAGCGCCGATCTGCCGGTGGATTCTACCAAGACCTACCGAGTGCTCGACGAAGGCGCACGCGAGAAGCAACGCGCCGACAAGAGAGGCAAGAAGCCGAGCCCCGTCGCGGAGCAGTCGTTCGATAACGCGAGCGATCGCTCGAGTTACCAGATCGAAACAGTTCAAGACGGTGACGTCGACGTGGACGAGAAACCAGAAGTGCACGACGAGAAGATCCTCGAGGACTACTCTTTAGACGTGGAGGAGAAGAAGATCTGCGTGGACGACAAGATCTTGCAGTCGCTCAAGAACAATCCCAAGACGGACCTGCGATTCTGCAAGGTCGTCGAAGCCGACGGTGGTCTGATGAATTCTCGACCAAGGTGCAGATCCAACCCGTCCGACACGTGGCAGAACGCATCGAACGAAAAGGCGTTGTTGGAAATCGAAGAAGAGGCGCCGGACGAGCCCAACGAGCCACTGAAAATCGATTACGACGACAGTTCGAGGCTCCTGGACGCTCTGAGGAACACACCGGGGCTGTCGGTGTCTGTGATGGGAGGCACAGTCGAAATCAGCACCAAGAACCTGATCACGCCACCTGCGAGGCCGCTCTCGAAAGCGTCCTCGTCGAGCAGATCGCCGGACTCGCAAGCGGAGTGCGTGGAAAAGTTGCTGAAGAACGGCAGTGTCAACTCGCCGACGACCCCCGGCTTCCTCAACAACCACAGCTGCACGATCTCACCTCGCAATCTACCGGGTCTCTCCATCATTATACCGAATTATCGCTACCGAAGCAACACGAGTCAGTTAACCGCTACCTCGCCGAGCATTAAACGCCGCGTGGAGTCGCCCGAGAGCACAGTAAGTTTCAACAAAACCGAGCCGGAGGAAACAAAGCTCGACGAGCTCCCGCACGAGGAGGACGACGAGGAGACTGAGGAAGTTGACGAAGCCGAAGATGTTGACGAAGAGGACGACTGTGATTCGCAGGTATTGGAGGACCTCAGGAGGCAAAGGGCAGATTCACTGGTGTACGACAATGTGGACATCGACTGTTACAACAGGCACGGCTCCAGGAACATTACGGAAGACCGTAAGGCATCGTTGGAGAACGCGAAGGGCGATCATCTTTGGACAAGCTCCAACCGGAGCAGTGAGGCGCAGGCCAAGTGTAAATATCAAGACCTGGAGCACTTTGACGAGCAGGTGCTGGAGGAGTTGCGGTCTCGCGGTACCGTAGTGTCTCCTCAGCCCAGCGGGATACCGTGCTCGCCGGCCTCCAGGAGACCATCCTCCACGTATCTCGAGAGACTACTTCCGAGCCCACCGTGCTCGGTGTCTTGTTCGGAGGACGCCAAGAGCGAGTTGACGCTCAAGAGCATCTTGCCGTCTCCCAACTGCGCGGAGCCGAAGGATCACGAGAGACCCAAGAAGGAAGGAGCGTTGATTCGAGCCGATAATCAGGGCGTGGACGTCGGTCGATCTGTGTACTCGAGTGTCGATAGAAACGCCGGCGCTGCCGTTGTGGCCGCTAGAAAAGCCAGCCGGAGCTTCCAGGAGCGCTCGAGCGTCCACAATCAGGAGATGTGGAACCACGGTAGGCCGATGTCCAGCGGCGATATGCACAGCAGCTTCTACACGACGGATCGCAGCGCGCCGAAGAGGCCGATGTCCGTCGAGTGGCCGACCGGTCGACAAAAGAACGAAAGAACAAATTGCTGCCAGGGAGTCGCCGGGAAAACCGTGAGGAGTCACTTCGCCGAACATCTCCAGGACACTTGCGCCACGTCGAGCAGCACGGACAAGCTCCTGGACCCGGCTAGTCAGCTGCGCGAGCTAGTCGAAACCTTCGGCCACTTGATTCCCGACCCTCTGCTGGTGCCGCGCAATTACCTGCCGGCTTTGGCTGCAAATCCAGCCACGGAGATACCGAAGTTGCTCGCTACTAGACCTGAATTGAGGCTACCTGAGGCGCTCACCAGACCCGACCTCCTCCGCGACCCCGACTTGCTCGTGATATCGTTGGCGCATCTACAACACGTCCTGGATCACGGCGAGGGACCGGTGTCCAGGTCGCAACAATTGCAACCGGCCAGAGTCAGTTACAATAACAGTAACAACCGAGGATCCGGTCACAGCGGATACAACGGCGGCACCGCGAGAGGTGCCACCGCGGGGAAACCCAAGCTAAGTTGCAAGCCGATCGGCACGCTGATGCCGGCACCGATAGACTTGTCGAATAGCAGAACGCGCGTCAACCCTTACCCGCCTCTCCTCAGGGTGCGCAGCGGACTGCTCAAGCAGGAGCCGGAAGTCAGCTCCACCGCGAGCTCGCCGGATGAGTCGCAATTGTGGCACCCGTTATTCGGCAGGTGAGTAGGTCGACTGATATTTCCGAATCGATCTCTTCGCGAAGAGTACTCTCCAAGTTTTCCCGAGTAAAATCCTACTCAAAACTCGAGTGAGAATACCGACACATAGGATCAAGATTGAACGATCAAAGAGACAAGTTTCAGACCAAAGAAAGCAAATATTTTACTTAAACAAAACTACCAAGTAAATGTGTTTGAATTTTATAGATGTAATTGAATAATATTTGAACAAAAATATTTAAAATTATCTTTCTGTGCGGAAATAACAGCATTTATTGCTATTTCGATTCTACACGCTTACTTAGAATTTTAAATTAATAGTTCACTCGACTATTTAGAGTAGAGAAAAATCACTCTACATATTAGAATATGTATAGAGTGACGAATTCGAGTGACCCGACTGTCACTCTATTTCCTGAGTGGAATTTTGCTCGAAAAAATTTGGAGAGTAAAGTCTAGATTCGCGACTTACGTCTCTCGCTTTAACATCGCGACTCAGAATCGATATCATGCTTGTTGAATTGGCCTCCTCCGCCTTTAATACCTCGGACAGTTGATGAACTCGCGATCGTCAGTGATGGGGAGGACGCGTTCGATTCGCGACGACGGTGTTCGTATCACATCGTCGTCGACAGGCCTGTCCAATTATGCAGACTGAGCAATAGAAATAAACTCTCATTGAGAACGTAACATCCCACGAAGCGCGGCAGCGTAATATAGCTAGCGCGCGCGGACAGCACATTGGATATATTTATAGAGCGAAAGACGTGTGAAACCCGGGGAAATAATAAAAAAAAGAAGAGAAAAAAAAGCAAAGTGGCCCTCGCTCACTCGGGCGCAAATAGGTCGGCCTTAATAACGACCACGACAAAGCACGAGCGCACGAAAACAATACTGTTAACCTTCGGCGAAGTCACGAAGGAGGAGTTGCGAACAAAGCGACGACGACGACGACGACGACGTTGCGTCCGCGAGCGAGACGCTGAAAGGAAACGACGACGAAGCGGCGACGCCGGTCGCTCGCTCCGGTTCTCCCTCGCGAGCGACACAAAGTGTTCGCGCACAGGAAGTACATTCTGATCCCTTCCGCGTCTACAATTAACACGTGGGGACACGCTCTCAGTCATGCAAATGCCGTCCGTGTGTATTCTTGCCGATGCGCCCGCGTCCGTTGAACGATTAAATTTACACCGTTTCCATCGACCCGCTGCGTCCCCCGAGAAAGATTCGTCACGTCGATGCTTTATGCATACTGGAGGAGATCGGCCGTGCAGAGGCGCTACCGGGGCGTTTCGCGATTCTGTTTGACGTCGGCGGGCATATCGACTCGCGCGACGATGACGGCGGCGACTGCCGTCACAGCGACGGCCACGGGCTTCATTTGCATCTTAATACGGCGACGGTAACGCGACTCGACGCGGTTAGCCGCGACGCGCCTAACAAATTCCGCCGAGGTGCTTGTCACTCGAGTTTATAACGAGCCGATCCGTCGAGCACGTCCGTACATCGACACTGTTAAATATTTAAATTAGATCGAGCACTGCCGACCAAGAAGCAGGCTCTGCTTGTATCGCGTCGGCGGCAGCGACGCAGCGTGACCTAATATTACGCTTCCTCCGCCGCGGCCGAAAGGAGGATTGATGGGCGTCGTTAGCGGAGGGTAATTGGGACGAGGCGGTGGATGCACCGCGGAAAATATCACGACGTGGGAAACAGAAAGGGCAATAGTCCGTCGGACTCATCGGACTCGACCAGAAATTGGTTCCATGATCCTCTGATCAGAATGGTCCCAGTTGATTGTCTGTCTTGTGTAAGTTCCTGCTGGGAGAAGTTCGACTCCTGCTTGAGGCATAATTTCTCGCAATTGAACGAATGAAAAGATGCATAATTAAATAATTAGAAGAGGGGGCTAAATTACTAGTTACAACGATCGGACAGGAAAAAGTTCTAATTAATCAGCTTTTAAGCGGTAATAAGATGCAACAATGAAAATTTCGACAACGTTCTTTCTTCGTGAAAAGATCAACTTTTTTAAATGAAACCATATCTTTTTTCATCTGCAGCGCTGTAAAAAGAATTAAGCGAAATTTAATAGTAACTTATGTTCTTTCCATTGTCATTTTGCAGGGGATGGAAAAAAAACTGGAATGGGTTACACTTCAGATATGTCTTGAGAGTACCTAATATTATTCTTAATCACGTATTGTATTAAAAACATCATATTTTCTATATTTTTACAGTTAAATATTGATAAAAATAACATTATGAATTACTATTGTCTCTTTTTTTTTATTTTTTACAATTTGGATAAAAAGAAATATAGTTTCATTTAAAAAAATAAAGATGACCTTGATTTCTTTTTGCGAAAAAAGAAACCAGAAAAGGAACTTTGCAAAATTTTTATTGTATCTTATTGCCATTTAAAAATAGATTAACCTAACATTTGTTTCTTGTTTGATTATTGTAACTAAATAGTAAAAAAATAGTGGATACTACTGGCATGAACATTTCGTACAATATGTTTGTACAAAGTGACCTTATCGGGTTATCTGACAAGTCAGGTAACGCAATGTGGCAATCAGGTTCTTATTAATAATAAATATTTAATAAAATAATTTTATAAAATAATTAGAGTCTTATTGTAATTATAATAAGTGTGACCCGATAATATCGCCTTATATAAACCAGACAACTGATTGGTGTCGACCTGATCGACCGTGGGATAAATTTCTAGCCAGGGAGACGACGGTATGTCCCCGGCGCGGCATCCTCAGCAATTCGAAGGAATCGCGCGCACGGAGGAGAGACTGCTTAGAATAGAATCCCCGAAATTGCGTGCGCAATCGCGCGGGCATCGGAGATTTTTGGCAGCGCCGCTCGCCGCTGCGCTCGAAACGCGCGACTTTAATCCCACGAGGAACCGCCGCCGGAGTGTCCGCCGATACGCTCGGAAAATTCCCAGAGCCGATCCTGCGGCACACACCCGACTGCTAATTGGCGGATCGAGACTTCGCTAATTAGGACCGCCGGCCACTGTTGCACGATCAGCCATTGGCATGACGCGAAACTAGGTCGCGGCGTCGTTTTTCGTCCTACGTTCGTTGCCTGCGCTCGCAACGAAGACAATGATGAAGACAGTGCGGACGAAGAGACATTGTCGACGACTACTAGGAAGAGGAGGAGGAGGAGGAGGAGTAGGAGGCGTGGTTGCGTAAGTCCGCATATTTAGGATTCATAGGCTCGGGTATAGATCCGAAGGAATCGATAACGATACGTGGGCAGAAAGGGTAAAGGATGTCCAACGGCGGTATGCTAATTTCCCTTCGCAGTAGGGAGGAGGACACGTCTGCGATCGTTATTCGTGCGACGGATCTCTTCATTTATTATGTTCAGAGTGACACGCCGGGAAGCTACTTTAATAAATTAGCCTTGAACCGGGATTTGATTAAACGAAGACCTATATGTCGACTATATAACAAGACATGTGACGGTATATAAGACGAGTTGCACGTCACTCGTACTACTAGGGAACGCGAATTCCATCCGAGTCAAGAGAAGAGCTTGACTATCGCTGTTCTCCGCGGAAAAATCGCGCCTATACCGTCACGAACGCGTCCCACGTCTCATTCTCACGCGACCCAAGTCGAAATTTCGATTCTACTTTCGACCCGAATATTCCATTTAAGGCTCCTGGATACTCACCATGTTGGATTCTGTCGTTAGAAATGAGAAATGAAGCGAGTGGTGAAAATTTTTGCGTGCTATTTCTAAATAAAAAGATATTTGTGTGAAGAAGCACTTCAGTGCTGGGATTCTATAACTCGTTATTGGAGTTAATCGTTATCGTTGCGCAACTTTTCTACAGTATATAAAAGCTGCGGAACGATAACAAAACTGTCGTTAACTCCAATAATGAGTTACAGAATCCCAGCACAGATCGCATGTTTGAACACACTTGCAGAATGTTCCGAAAACTTTTCCTCTTGACAATCAAGAAATAAACGTAAAATTAATGTTGCCAAATCATGAGAAAAAATAGGTTAAGAAGGAATTGCCAAGAGAAAAAAGTAATTTTTCCAAACATTTTCCAAGTATACTTAAACGATCACGCGAATGTTCTTTCGTTTAAATATACTTCTTATTTAAGAATGGCACGTAGAAATTTCGGACATTAGTTTTCTCGCTTCTAATATCATCCATCCAGATTTCCACTGAGTAAGTACTCAGAAGCTTCAACACCTGATATTCTGAAGTCTATATCAATCTCTGTTGATACTATTTAACCTATTCATTTTGCTGAGAAATTCACTGTAGAACCTACAAGTGGCATTTTATATCCTTTCCGCCATTTAGAGGCCTTAAATAGGACTTCAGTTTCCACGTGTAATCAAACACACGCTGATCCTTCAGTATATACAGTTGGAAAGTTGAAAAGTTTTCGGGTCGAAAATAGGGCGAAAATTTCGACTCGGCGATGCGCACGTGTGCGTTTTAATTAACGCGGAAACAGATATTCGTGGCGCGTGGAAAATATTTCTCGATACGCGGCCGGGCGCGAGTTCTTTTTCCGACGAGGATTCACAGTTCCGATTTCAGCATGGTCGAGCACAAAAAGCGAGATCCTCCAAGCCTGGGGAAACAGATATCGATTCGCAAGAGAGAGATAAAATGTGTATGTTCCGGAGTCGACGTGGCATCCGCGTCTTCCGCTAATGAAATGCACGAGAAACCAAGAGAACGTCGTTGGCAATTAATAGCGCGTACGTCGCGTCGCGTCGTCTCGACGAAGACAAAGCGACCGGCGTCGTCGGGAGTCCCGAAACCCGTACGGGATTATACTGGTGCTCGATTGTGTCTGATGTAAACGCGAGAGAGAACACCAACCATCACACATACGCGCAACCATCCACAACGTCGAAGCGGCCTCGAACGCGCTTTCGCCACGGTGGAGCACTTGTGTAAATAGCATTAGGATGCTACTCTCCGCGGAGCATACGGACGGCTTTAATGAGAAGGAGAGGGAGAGGGACAGGCATTAGAGAAGGGTCCTCCTCGTCGTCATATAACGACACGAGCGCTCATCGATCGCAAAAGCGGCCCTGAGCAGGGAATTCGAAAGTGCGGGGAACGCGTCGGACAGGAAGCGAAAATCTCTCTCTCTTTCACACAGCGGGGTTTAACCCTCTCGCGGAAGGCCGAATGAACGAAGTGCAGAGGGAGGAAGGGACAAATCAATTTGTTATTCCGGCGTAACGATCTCGCCGAGAGAGAATCGAGCTTACTGTCATCCTGATATTCGCGTTAGCACGGATATTCGATTACGAACGGTGCTTTGAAATCGGAACAATGTGATCGCGATACAACATAATGTCGAATATCAAATAAACAAACGCGCGGTTTCGCGGTTCCCGTGGCGACGCGGCTCATGCAAAAGTGAATATCAAAGGAACACTGATATCCGCTTACACATGGTGGCGCACTTCATAATTCCTTTACATAATCGTGTCATCGCGCACATGCACCTTGTTAAAAAAAAAAAGGAAAGAGAAAATGAGTTCACTTGGAAATACGTCGTTGGCCGTCGATATCATTACGATTGCTACTCCTCGCGCGACTTTTGTAGATCAACAGGATGTGATCGTGCACATGGTCCGTTTGATAAGAACGTGTTGACGCGCGTGAGGCACGTTGAGCCTCCATGCTGTAATCGAGCGATAATTTAAAAAAAAGTAAGAAAGAAAAGAAAACCAAACGTTCCGATCATTCGTCCGCTCGTGATGACGTAACGATGCATTATTGCGCGGGAAATAGCGAAGGGTCATGTCATCCCTATGTTTACGTATAATTAATAATTCACACGCCACGCCGGTGCCACACATAACAAACCGTAAGCGATCTTGATAAGCGTAATTACACGCATCGACAGGCATAATTCCGCGGCATATAATGACGAAGTGAGTTTATGCGCTCAAATCACGTCTCGAGAATTGTACATAGGACGTGTTGTACGGCGAATTTGCAATATCTACGCGGATGTTATTGTTTCATACAAGATGCAGGAGAAACTTCAATATAAGGCAGTCTTCTAAATTGTGCCTCATCAATTGCACTTGGTTTTTCTCTTAATATTTGCTGCACATACAAAATAGGATATAATCTGCATTTTTGTTTATAATAACGATAATAATGATAATAATAATAACTTTATTAGTACAACAAAAAAAGCAAGAAGTAATATTACAAAGTAAAGGAAATATTACAAAAAAAGGAAGAGGAGAAAAAGAAGTAAAAAGCGAGGCGACAGCGATGAAGCTGTTAAAATTGCCTTACTTGAGTCTAAAGAAAGCTGGTGACACAGTAGAAAAATCAAGTTATACTTCTCACCGCTCATTTATTTCTCATTTTTACCGTCAGATGTCATTCAACAATAATGAAGTGGCTGATGAGGTACGATTTCGGCAACTCTCCCCTAAAATGCATTTACATGTTTGTCCGAAATGGCAGACGCGTATTCCACGGCTGAATGTTAGCTGCGATCGCCGGGTCGATTGAGACGAGGAGTTTATTTTCTTGGAGGATTTATAGAGAGATCGATCCCCAACGCGAGAGGTCGAACTAATCGAATCCCCGACTTACAACGTGGCTAACTACGGTGATCGTCGACGATATTTCTCGCGTAGCCGCGCACTCCAACCCGATTCTACCACGATGGAATCTCAGGAGATCTCCCGCCATAGAATTGGATCGGCAGGGACGTACAATTCGAGAAGATCCGGCGACCGGCGCGATTTACGAGACGTCCGGCCGGATCGGTCGATGCTCGCCGGCCCTGAAGACTCACCTCGCCCACGTCCACGCCCACGTTGCCGCCACAGGGAGAGGAAGAAAACTCGAGAGAAAAGGAGACGGCATCGAGACAGAAGGAAGGAACGAGACAGAGCGAGAGAGGGAGGTAGATAGAGAGAGACAGAGAGGGAAAGATTGAGAACGGACGAAACTAAAAGGTAGAGAACGAGGAGAACGACCGAAAGTTAGAAGAAGAAAAAGTCGTCAGAGGAGAGGGAGAGAGGGAGAGAGGGAGGGGGAGCGGCGAGTCCTCATCTCGTCCTTCTCTATCCCTCTTCTTCGTCTACGTTCTCCTCCGTTCCCTCGCGCGATCTTGTCTAGTCGTTCTTCCCTCTTTCCCCTGCCGATCTTGTCCCCCCTCCCCCCGTTCACATTTTCTACGTTCTATCTCGTTCTTCCTTCCGCCTTCACCTTCGTTTCTATCCACCTTCATCGTCGTCGTCGTTATCGTCGTCGTTGGTGCCTCACTTTCTCTAGCTCGCTTCCTCTATCCGTTTCTCTCCGCCTCTTACTCTACCCCTTGCTTCCTCCCCTCCCCCTCCCTGCGAACGTCCCTAGCAATAACTCGCTGGAAGCATTCGCAAGCCGTCCGAGCTGTCCGAGTTCGCGGTATCGCTTATAAAGTCGCCCGGTGACGAGCATTGCGACACAGTGATCGAGCCAGACGAGGGGGTCATTGGTCCCCTGGGACTGCCACGAGGAATCCTCTCTCTCTTGCTCTCGCTCTTGCCTTCCCCGCTGAGCCTCCTCTCGTTCTCGCCAATGCACGTATACGTACGTATCGCCGGTGTGAACGCCCCTTTAAAAGCGGATCGATGGATATCGCTAGGAAGCGCGCACACACACACATACCGCATTATCCATGCGGTTTGTACGAAAAGGTGCCAGTGACCAAAATTGGTCGCGGGAAGCAACGCCTATTTCAAAATCATTTGCGGAGCAAAGATGTCAATTTTGCACCGAGGAACAACAATTCCACTTGTTCAGCGGGGAGTTATCTTCGAGAAAATAAAACGATGAAAAGTGAAGGCCAGCAAAAATATCACAATGACATGTACCCTAACCTTGGACGTTCTTATCGTTTCGGTCTTTAAATTTGAATATTTAAACTCTTAACATAAAAATATATATATACATATAATGAATATATACATATCTATATTAGAAGCTTAAACATTCGTATTTAAATATTCGTATTAAATTACGATAAGAAAGTCCAGGATTAGGTACGTACCCTGGAATTCGTATTTTTACTTTAATCTACATTTTACATTCGAACGACGTCACGGAATATATCGATGAATATAAACAGTCGGGAAAAAGAGGCCAACTTCTAACCCAGCCACAATCGTAGCGACAATCGCATCACGACGTCGGAGTCAGTAACTTCGGGGAAAAGTTGGGCCGCGAACTGCCGCCGTTTCCACGACAAGCCTGCGTCGAGGCTGAAAGTAATAACGATGATCGGTCGACGACGAACAACGATGACGAGATGCGAGACATTATGACAATCTAAATCCGCCGGACGGAGTTTCAAGTATCACGTCGGACATAAATAGGGTAAGTGGCTTGCAAGAAGAAGAAGAAGACAGTCTCGGCATGCGAAGCGGAAATCTATGCGAGGAGCGCGAAATCGATCGCGCGGCGTAGCGTTCCGCGCTTACCCGGTCAATGGTCCCGCGAAAGAGTTCTGCACGAGTACGTCGCAGCGACGTACTTACTTATCCACGCACTAACGATTTATACACTCGGAGGTTGCACGCGCGACAATTCCTGATCGTACCGCGCCAGGTTGAAGCTACTTTCAGAAAGTTTTATCCGTGACAGGATATCGTGCATGTTTAATGTGCGCCAAGAGATATATACGATATATAAGAGATATATACGTTGCTAAATGATGAAAATAGGAAATCGGTCATCGATCGCAGGCGGCCTGCTCTTCCCTCATAGGTACCGCGCGAACAAGGCTTGACGTAGAGATCTTTGCATCAGACTGACCATAAGAGTGGTTTTGTTAAAATCGTATGAGAGAGAGAGAGAGAGAGAGAAAGAGAGAGAGATGAAATATTCACTATCTCAGTCTTTAACCTAGCTCGCTCCAACGCGCTCACGCATGCGCATGACGTTACCGTGCTCTGATACTTGTAACCACAATTAGCCGTAGTTATGCAAGAATTATCCAACCTACCAAATTATGATTGTTAAGTTTTCGTTACCAATAAATAGTCTGCGCGTATGTCTTTCTATATATATATATATATATATATATATATATATATATATATATATATATATAAAACAAACAAGATTCAAATCTTATGGGCGTCTAAGGTTACTTAGAAAATCGATTTTATTTTCTACTATAGTTGCGTCATTTTTTACCAACTTTTTAAGGATTGCCAATGAATACCCTTGCACAGAAGAAAATTGGCCATGCTTGACTTCTCGAACGACTGCGAAGAATTTTAGTCTAAGCTGTCTAAGCTTTTTAGCCCTTTGATGCTCGTTTCTACAACTTCTTCTTCAACTACGTCTTCAACTTTGATTAACTTAACCAGGCAGATTATTCCAATGGAATTGACCAATCGCATTTCTTGTTAGTCAGAATTGACAGATACAACTGGTCAATTCCATTAGAATAACCAGTCGGTTAAGTTAACCAAAGATGGTAGAAACGGGCATAAGGTACATAATTCATGGAACATTCTAGTAACCTTTTTTAATGAAATATTGCCGAAAAACATTTTAGATAGCACATTTATAACGTTTCAACTGCCCGACTCTAAGTGGTTCCTATTGATATTAATGATACTTAAAAGGATTAAAACAATTTTTCGTTTTTCTCGAAATATATTTTATGTAGATTGGATCATTTTTGCAGAAGTTCATGATCGATTACCGATATTGTAGCAATATATTGCTGTAATATACAATTGTAATGTGTGCATTGGAATGTATCGGAAAAACGGATAAATATGCACCGTTCTGTAATAATTCATCATCGAGAGGTTATATCATAACGGTATTTCCGAAAGAAATTTTCTGAACACCGAACTCTGTGCAAGCACGGAATGTCCCACGTAAGAAAAACATTAAATACGAGGAATTTTTTTATATCTGAGTCACTTTGATGTTTTATATAAAAAAGTGATATTTTTTTCTGACATTTCGTATATGGAATTTTATATAAAAAGAAAATATTATCAAATTTTTTTTCCAATGTTTTTCTCTCATTTGTTTTGCTGAAATACAAAGTTCGTGAGATTATTGTGATTCGAATACAAGCGGAAGTTGACAAAACATGGCGGGACCAATCAAAGCGCATGAGAGCTCAGTCTCTGATTCAAAGATCGCTAGCTCCACGTCGCGAAGTCTTTGGACATTTACCCAACGAGGGAATTCAAGACGATGTGAAACGAAACGAAACGAAACTGCACGCGACAACGCGAATCCTATTGCGGTAGTTGTTGCCGCGCATTGGGCGCCCGCCTAGCGATTCGTATTTTATCACGAAGCACGCCGATCGATGTGCGTGTATCCTCTCTTGTGCAGACAATGGCCCGTATTCTCCTTGCTCGCACAGCGCTAAATGCGTCCCTCCCGATAATGCCGAGCATATGCCAGAATCACGGGCGCGAATGTCGGAAAGTCGGACGACCGCGAGCCCTCTCGACGTTAACTAACTAAACTTACTGCGAATCGTCGTACTCGACACGTCGTGTTAAATCTTAAACCCCGAGATAAGTAACGTTACTTTCCGCTACTATTGTTTGTCGTCGGGCAGCGGTGAGCGAAGCACCGCAGTGCTCGCACGCCGTAAAATTGCCTTTAACGGTTTTGCATTGCGGAACGAAAATAGAAGCTGCAAAACGCATCCTACCTTCGACCTCCGCTATAATATTCCACTCAAAGTCTGCTTTGATACTTTGAAACCTGTCAACTTATTTTGATTCTATTCAACCTGCCAACTTTGTCGAGAGAACCTACAAGTGGCATTTTGTGTATTTTCTGCCATTTAGAGACGCTAACTTGAATCTTCATTTGTATTAAACACACACTCTGGAATCGAAATTTTAACTCTACCTTCGACTCGGGCTTTTTAGCATCTGTATATTCTGAAGGATATGTAACGAGAACAACGTATATATAAAGAGGACTTCTTGGTAAATCTAATAACTTAAATAAAATCAAAAGATAAAGAGCTCAGAATATTAAAATAGGTGTTAAATGGAATATTGAGGTCGGATCAAAATGTCGATTCGGGTTGATCTTTCAGAATATACAGATATTAGAAAGATTAAGGCTCCTGGCATTGTCTATCTCTTTTTTATGACGTCAGAAGCGAGAAAATGCATGCTAAAAATTCTTGCGAAATACGTTAAAATAAAAATATATATCCATAGAGTAACACTTGCAATCGATTAAACAAATTTGTAAGATATTCCGTGCACTCCCCTTTTGCTTTAACAATCAATAATTTGTCGTAAATTAACATACAATTCGTTTTCTTAACCTATTTCTTCGCCTATTTCTATTCAAATTAATTTACAATAAATTATTGGTTGTTAAAGCAAAAGGGGAGTGCACGGAATATCTTACAAATTTATTTAATCGATTGCAAGTGTTATTTTATGGATATATATTTTTATATCAATGTATTTCGCAAGAATTTTTAGCATGCATTTTCTCGCTTCTGACATCATTAAAAAGAGATAGACAATGCGAGGGGTCAGCCTTAAGTTGAAAATAGGGCTAAAATTTTGTCTCAGGATCACGCGCAAATTTAAGACCCATCGAGTCGAGAGGGAATTTATTTGAATTCGCATGAATAGGAGAGTCAAAGCTAGTTCGATATTGAAGTAAGTCAGTAAAACTGATTATTTCTAGTATTTTCTAACAACTTACAAAATTAAACAAATAAGATTTTTAAACATATCAAAGATGACTTTGAAATCCTTGCTTACTTGAACTTGAAATCTGTTAACCCTCTACTACCCACTGTGATTCTGAAGTCACATACAACGCGAAAGTCACAAAATGGTTGCGTTTTTTTAGTATGTTGGCAGCGATAGTAACTGTCCAACGTGACTTGAGAGTCACAAGCCTATTTTGGGAAAAAAGGAAATTATAAAAGTAAAATGTCACCTTATATGTGTTGAGTATTTTAGTTTTAAACATCATATGAGCATGGAAAATATTTTAAACATGAGAAATTAATTTGGACAGTAAAGGGTTAAAAAGAAATAATCGATTTTGTGAACTTATTTCCAAATAGATCCGGTTTCCCCTACATATCTTCGCTCGTCGTTAGGAATTCTGCGTTACGACCGACGCGATTATTAGCAGAATTGGCTCAGTCACGGTAAATCAATTTGCGAGAATAGATCTATTCTGATCCTATCATAAATCTCTGCACTCAGATTCGCTTACGGCGAAGAGTTAAAATCAGACAACCGCATTTAGCGCATTTGCGGCGATCGCGTGTGACATTCGCGCGTGTCTCTTTTTAGAGATTTCAGTTTCGCCATAGAGTGCCCCGCCGTAGAATCTTTCGCGGATCGATGTCTATATATAACTACGCGAGGTGACCGTAAGTGCGAGATGAGACTATTTCGACGCACCTGGACATGCTCTTTAAATCTCGGTCGACGTGCCGCGACGCGAGCGCGCTTCAATTATCACCGCTCTCTTCGCTAATTGTCACGAAATTGCGCAAAAACGCACCATTTGTCTAGTCTATTTTTGAAGTCTTAGGTGTGTCTTAAGAGAGAATGATACAAGACAGCGTATTAATAATTGTCACTTGTAACTTGTCTCATGTGAGATAATCCAATTTTTATTCCGAGTTAGATCCAAGCTTTTCAATTAAATTATGATGTATGTGACATAGCCTGAACTTCTCCACGAGAGCGAAGATTTATGCTTTCTACTAATATCAATTAATTTCAATTTAAACTTCACTTAGATTTAATATTTCAGGTTTAATTAAAAGTTTAATTGACGTTGATGGAAACATGCATTAACTAAAAAGAATGTCTTGTTAATGCAGACACTCGACTTTTGTTTAGCTTGACTTCTACTGGACATTTTGTCTAGAAATTTAATTATTCCTTTAATAAGAATTAAATTAAACAACGGTGGAAAATACCTGTGGGCAGTAAAAGGGGAACATAGTCGTCTTTTGCCCTAACATTACTTATAAGAAGGTGCAGTTTACGTTTATAAACCTATGTAATTATTCAATATTTTTCTGTAATTCAATTAAAAAGCTTGTACCTAAAATTCAGCATTAAAAGCTAAGACCTGTACGAATAATTGTTTCCTCAAACTTGCCTCAGGTGAGATACTCAGATTTAAATTTAGAATTAGATGGGTTTCTTAGCTGAATCGTGATTACAAATGTAATGTCACATATATTATATGATTAAAATAAAAAAAAACTCAAATCTAACTCTAAATTCAGATCTAAGTATCTCACGCGAGGCAAATTCCAAGTTGAATTCTCGTTTAGATGTTCACAGTGTAATCTGTACATATAGAAATTCAATAAGAATTCGTGT